ATGGAAGACCAGAGTAAGTTCTCTCACTCTATTTTCTGTATTTTTAATCATATCGTAAGCATGACTGAGAATGTAAATCTCATCATAGAGTCCTGCAACCCAAATTATTTCTAAGATGTTGTTTTGTTGTTTTTTTAAACATAGTTTTGGTAAACCATTTGAAGGTGGCAAGTGTTCAGCTTTGATGTTATGCTGTACTATAAACTCCTGTTCCTCATATGAACCCTCTTCTACTTAGAAACCCTATGAATAAACAAATAGCCTGAGACTGACAATTACTCATTTTTGATAGTTAAAGATCTGTTTTTAATATATACGGTGCTAAAATGAGAAAAACAATGAAGTTTGATTTTGAAGAGTGACGACATGCAAATCCCACCAATTCGAAGAAAGGGCCCTTGAGGTTCATATTTGTGGTTCAAAGTGAAATTTCTCAACAACTATTGGATGGATTGCCATCAAATTTGGTTCAGACAATTATGTCTCCTTTAGGATTAATAGATCCCTTAACTTTTACTCTTGCGTCATCATCAGGTCAGATTTTTAATTAGTCCAATACTTTAGTTTATGACCAAATACCTGCAAAACTAATGACATTGTCATCAGCCTCAGCTGTACTTTGTGTTCAATGCTAATTAGCAAATAGTAGCATGCTAACATACTAAACTTTGATAGTGACAATAATAAACACACTATACCTGGTAAACATCAGTTTCTCATTGTCAGATCTTCAGTGTGCCTAAACGCACACTATTAATTAACCAGAAAATTAGTGAGTCTAATATCGTCATGGAAAAACAGTCCTGTAAATGCTACCGTTGTAAAGCTCATCAGTTTTATCTACTTTACGCATTTAACTGTTAGTCAAAATGGTGTTAACTTAACTTTATGGTAATTTTGTTGGCTGTAGTTTGTCATATTGCTGTGTTGTCCCAATCTCATGCCAATGTCATTATGTAAATTAAATTGGCAAAATATTTGAAATGCCTTCAAAATACACCGCTTATTCGAGTAGTCTTCACTAAAACTTAAGCATTTATCAAGGCTTTTGCATTGCATTGCATCATGCAGGTGTTTCCATATTTTTAGGACACTCAACGTATAGGAACTGATTATTAGATCAAGTGCACATGTAAATAATACACGCAGGGGAATAAATACAGATTCACACATGTACATGACTTCATATCATGTTACAAGGCTCCAAGCAATCTACCCTCTGCACACCCAATAAAAACCATCTGTCACAGCTCATTAAGACGCCAGTGTGCACAACGGCATGTTTGAACACGATCGCCTCATGCTGAAGTTCCCGATGGAGATGCTGATATTTTAGGTTCAGAATATGAGCTGCATCAGACACCAATCTATCTGCAAGTCCTAAAACAGACTAGGGATGGAGTAAAGAGGCAGGTGTTTACTAATATCACATTCACACAGTGTTTTAAGTCGGTGTAAATCAGAGGTACGTGTGAAAACAAAGCTGTCACGGGATTTCATGGATAGGACCCAAATGCAAGACCACAGGAGATAGAGTCCGATGTAACGGATTTTATTTAGCCAGAATAAAGACAGGAAGGTGTGGAGCCCGTGGTCCGACACCGGAGGGCAGGTGGATTGACGGTGTGAGTCCCGTGGCTCGACACCGGAGGGCTGGTAGCTCGACGGTGTGATGTCCCGTGGCTCGACACCGGAGAGTACGCAGATCGACCAGTACTCTACACCCGTAGCAGAGAGGAGAGAGATTAGTTCAGAAAGGAACAACGGGGTTCAACTTACGGAACGGCAGTGGAGGCTACCGAGGCAGAAGACAATACGGACTGACAACCCAGGCCTGCAAGACCAGGGTTGATATGCTGCTGGGTAACGAGCCAGATTGTCCGCAGCTGTGCATCCATCAGGGCGGTGGCAATGGGAGGTGTCTGGAGGCAGGCCCGAGAAAACAACACCAAGTACATGGCACAACAAAACAAACAGGGGAAGGACAGACACATGAGGAGAGGAGATTGGGGGGAAACAGAGGTTAACACACAATGGGTCATACAGGGATCCTGACAAAAGCAGAGTATTGGACTTGTTAGGTTAATTATAGGCTTGGTTTTCATTATCATTTTTATATATTTAAGATAAGGTCATTGTCATTGCACGATTTCGCATTGTTTCAGACTGGTGCACTGATAGATACTGTATATATATATATATATATATATATATATATCAGATGTACATGTATCTGCATAGGTAATGGACAGATTATTGGTTATTGGTGTTGGCTGTCCACGAGAGGTCCTCACTGATGTTCACCCCCAGGAATTTGGTGCTGCTCACTCTTTCTATATCAGCACCATTGATGGTCAGTGGTGGGTGTTGAGTGTGGCCTCTCCGGAAGTCAACAACAATCTCCTTGGTCTTGCTGTTATTCAGAAGGAGGTTGTTGTCTCTGCACCATGTGGTCAGAACGCTGACCTCCTTCCTATAGTGGGTCTCATCGTCGTTGGTGATGAGACCAACCAGAGTTGTGTCGTCTGCAAACTTGACCATGTGATTGGTGCTGTAGGTTGTTGTGCAGTCGTGTGTCAGCAAGGTGAAGAGCAGTGGACTGAGCACACAGCCTTGAGGGGCCCCTGTGCTCAGTGTGATGCTGCTCGAGGTGTTGTTGCCGACACGTACTGCTTGTGGCCTCTCACTGAGGAAGTCCAGCAGCCAGTTACACAGCGAGGTGTTGAGCCCCAGCTGGTCAAGTTTGAAAATGAGTTTTTGTGGGATTATGGTGTTGAATGCTGAATGAAATGCTATGAACAGCATTCTCACATATGAGTCTTTTGTGTCCAGATGGGTGAGGGCTGGGTGGAGAGAAGAGCAGATTGCATCCTCCGTGGACCGTTTGGCACGGTATGCAAACTGGAAAGGGTCCAGGGTGGGGGGAAGAATGGATTTGATATGTGACATGACTAGCCGTTCAAAGCACTTCATGATTATGGTGGTCAGTGCCACCGGCACCGGCACCGGTTTATGTCATGACACTCATAATTATACAATCAGGTATGAAAAGAATTAAAAATACCACTTAACATTATGGAACTAACCACAATCTCTGTCAATTTACTAATCTTTGAATGGGGTTAAAATCAACAATTATTAACTGTGCACAAGCAGTGAAATCCTCTAACTTCGGAAAAAGATGCAAAGCATCACTGATAGCATCATCACGGCCTCATTTACATACATATGCAAACCAGGAATCTAATAGACAAAATGACTAACAGCTCTAACTACTTTACGGCCTTAACAGTTGGAGCGGCGGAGTCGGTCTATCTGATAAAATCCCTCTGTTATCGGTGTCATTACAATGCTGATCTCCCACACGGTTCCCCCACAGTTCTCCTGGTTGCTTGCAGATTTAAAATGAGATGTCAAGCTGGTGAAATATCACCAGAAACAAGCACAGATGTGTTTTCAGGGTTTAAAAAGGTTGGCCTGAAGAACTTGAGGATTTCTCCACAATGACAAACATCTTCTCAACTCCAAAATATCACTCTGGAGGAGCAACAGGTGGTGGGTTGAGCTCTGGCTATGCACATGTGATAATACACAACAAGTACAGTGTGTGTGTGTGTGTGTGCATGTGTGGGAGTAGAGGCCACATTTATTGCACGTCACAGAACGTTGAAACGCTCACATCAGCCTTTACTCAAACACAGACAGACCAACAACAGACCAACAACTGTTACTGTAGTGACAACTCTGAAAGATAACTTGAAGTTGTTTCATATGAATCTGCGTCCAAAGGATGTTGAAGTCAAAAAATGTGCCCTGTGTCTAACCAAGATCAGATAACCAGTAAAATCAGTTTCTGTGCAGCAGGGAGGCTCAGCCACTGCTGGCATGACATCACAGGAAAAAAAACAAAACTATGCGATGGTTATTAGATTCCACTGCAGTCCACTACTACTGCTAGACTACTACCAAGGGCTCACAAGCCAAAAATGTGTACCATCCAAGAATTTGGCGACGAAGCTAATGGCAGCCACATAACTTTTGATCTTTTTGCAGCTATGACTGTGAACAGACGGCAAGAACGAGGATCCCAGTGCGACAGACAACTGAGTCCCTTCATTAAAATATTCAGCAATTCTTTAACAATTTTTATTTGATGTGTGTGTGGCCTGCAATCTCTGTTGCACATGATTGTTAAAAGCTTTCCTCCCTCTATAGACACAATTATAGGAAGACCATATTACTATCTTTGGTTGCTGGATTAACCTGTTTCTGCTCCTTGTTCTTCCCACTCCCTGTACAATTTGTACAGTTTTCTTATGCAAGAGTAGGCCTATACTACCTACTACATGAATTAACATAGCAATATGCAAAACCGAAAACAACCAACTTTTGACAACTGAAAGAGGCCTTCACAGCAGGACCCACCATGTCATAGAATATTGTGCTTTTTGCATATTTCCAAATGCATTACACACCCCTTGACTTCTCAAACCCTGGGGCAGGTAACTACTTTACACAGTTCCTGTAGCAGATGCAGGTAATTTTGTCATCTATTACACACCAGATAAGCAGTTTATGCCAGAGAAACTAAAAATGATATCTATCTTTCTTTTTTTTCTGTTATCATCAAGACTAAAGTATGATACAACAAGAGACACTGATGCAAACTGGCGGTGTGTCAATGTCAACTTACTCCTGCACAAAATAGTTATATTCCGTTTTATTGAGTTGTTTAGCTGTGTGTCTTTTTCTCCGCTGTGTGTGTGTGTGTGTGTGTGTGTCGGGAGGACAATGCTGCGGTTTCTTCGCATACCCGCGTCAACGGAATCCCGAAGTGCGTCATCAAACGTCTATTCTCTCGAACGCGCGCTGTGATTGGCCGGGGGCTGGAAATCTCCCCGCCCACCGCCCAGCCATGTAAGGAAATCTCCCGGACGTCATGGGTACAATAACTCGGATAGTATAAATGTGTTGCGGGTATGTGTGCGGAGCGACTTGCTCCTCAGCTGGGAAACACTGAAGATGACTGACGGCTGTTTGTGGATTACAGACAGTTCAAAACACTTGTAGACGAGCCCAACAGGTATGAAATATGAATGACTTTTTTATAATACATTATACGTGAATGCGAAAACTTTTTAGAGACGTTACAAGTGACACCTGGGCATTAAAAGGAGTTTATCGAAGAGAAAGTAGCCGCCCCTTCCCCATTTGTTTTCAGTAAAAAGCAAAGTGAAGTATTTACAGCTCCTGCATGTCTCAGTGTTACACCCATTTGTCACAGCCTGGCTCAAAGGCTGTCAAACTGGGTATGCAAGAAAAAGACTGATTTTTCAATAGAAAAAAGCTATATATTGGATTAGTTTATGCCAATATTTAGCACATCCCTACACAAAACTACAGTTCTTTATTTTAAAACGTATATTGTGCCGTTTTTTTTAATAATATAATATTTTATTGTGAATTTTTCTTAACTTTTGCAGTATTTGCTTTTTATTTTTTCACACTATGTTTATTGTTATGGACCAAAACACCAAGGCAAATTCAATGTATGTGATAACTTCTTGGCATTAAACCTGATTCAGTTTCAAATTAGACTCAACTTTATTGTCATTGCACACAGTACTGAGACAACAAAATGCAGTACAGCATCTAAACAGAAGCGCAAAAGCAGTAAAGTGCAGAGTGATATTTAGAATAAAAAGTAAGAACAACTACGGTATAAACAGTAGGGGTATATGAATGTGTTAAGATATACAGTATGAACAGTGTGCAATGAATATGCTGTTCGCAGGAGGCGCCGTGTTGAGTGTTGTTTGGCAGAGCAGTGTCAGAACGCTGCAGGCAGAAATACCAGAGGCGAAGCAATCAGCTCGTTGCAAACAGGCACGTTTTGAGCGGGTGCTGCACTAGTGTATTAAATGCCAGCACATGAATACTGTACACAAAGTGGGAGAGTAAAAAAGGGCCCAGCTGCTAACTTTTGCACCATTGGATCCCTTACCGGGCTACCATGGCTTGAGTGTTAAAGATAAAGTTAAAAATCTCCAATCTGTTTGGCGCTAACATTTTTGATTATGTCTTTTTCAGTCTTGCAGCTATGACTTGCATACACCCCCAACATGGATCTCAGCTCTATGAGAACAGCCTTGGCAGCTCGGAGCTTCAGAGCACAGACTTTATCTCCAAACTGGCTGTGAATATGATCAGCCCACGGGACCGCCTCTCTGCTCCATCCCTGCCAAGCATCAACTCCCTGGTGGACACTCACAGTAGCGACTTTGATGCATATTCATGTCAGTTTACTGCAGCCCCTGTACTAGTCCCCCCATCGTCTGGCCAGGAGACCCCCCTCAAGCTGGATGACCTCCAGGTTTACGGCTGCTACCCTGGAGCGTTCACGCTGAGTTATCTGGATGACGCTGTGTCCCCTGGTGGGTCAGATTATTTTGGCAGCCCTGCATCGACTTTGTCTCCTTCAACCCCCCGGTTCCAGAGTCAGCATGCGTCCAACTGGGATTCAGCCTTCGGGCCATACTCACCCGGTCCAGGATACTGGGCGGCAGAGGACACCTCAGTGCCACAAGAGCCCACTTTCTTCCCTTTTGGTTCTGTGGAGGACATGTCTCATTTGGGTCCAACACACTTACAAGAGCAGGATCCTTTCACTTTGACCCACCCTCAACCGTCAGCACTGACCTTCCCCCCCTTGGCGATGGAGCAAGCACGCATTCTCGATGGTACTGACCAGCTGGAGGGGAGCTTATCACCCAAATTGCAAAGTCCCAGTGGGAATGAGGGCTGCTGTGCTGTGTGTGGGGACAACGCCTCCTGTCAGCACTATGGGGTTCGCACCTGTGAGGGATGCAAAGGGTTTTTCAAGGTAATAAGATCTGACTTGTCTATGCATGCAAATACCCTATTTCTATACAAAGATGATTGCATGTATTGTGTCAGTCTTTGGGGCAGGTTTAAGAGTAATTTTAATTTTAATTTCACAGCGTACAGTACAAAAAAAATCCAAGTATGTTTGCCTCGCCAACAAAGACTGTCCTGTAGACAAGAGGAGGCGGAATCGATGCCAGTTCTGCCGTTTCCAAAAATGTCTAGTTGTGGGCATGGTGAAGGAAGGTGAGTTCAGTACAAACCCAGATGAATGGCGTAGAATTAGGATGGTGAAGATGAACTGAAAATAACTGTTGATGTCATCAATTTTTCAGTTGTGAGAACGGACAGCCTGAAAGGGCGAAGAGGTCGCCTGCCTTCAAAGCCTAAAGTGGTCCAGGATGTGACGACCACGGTGTCTCCAGTGAGCATGATTGCTTCACTTGTGAGGGCCCACATTGACTCAAACCCAGTCATTGGCAAACTGGATTACTCCAAGGTAAACAACAAAAACAAACAATAAACAACAAACAAAATCCCTCTTATTTATGCTTTGGGAATATTTGATTACGCACGTAGGCATCTGTTTGAACTTCTCTGCTGTCTGCAATTTCAGTTTGGTGAGACCGAAGTCAGTCCGAACCAGAAAGTTGAGGCAAGTGACGTCAAACAGTTTTACGACTTACTCTCATCCTCCATGGAGACCATAAGGAAGTGGGCGAAGAGCATCCCAGGTTACTCTGACTTCTGCTCAGAAGACCAGGAACTGCTGCTGGAATCTGCGTTTGTCGAACTCTTCATCTTGCGTCTTGCTTATCGGTGAGTGCAGCCCCCTAAAAAAAAATGTCATGTATATGATACAGCTTACGTGTCATTGGATATAATCAATAACCTGCGTTGCCTTTTCTGTTTAAAGTTCCAATCCTGAAATGAACACGCTCATCTTCTGCAATGGGGCCGTGCTTCACAAGACGCAGTGCGTCCAAGGCTTTGGTGACTGGATTGACTCCATCTTGGAGTTTTCTCAAAGTCTCCATCGCATGAAGCTAGACGTTTCCTCCTGCTCCTGTCTCACAGCCCTGGTCATAATCACGGGTATGATCTTCAGTCATCCTTTAACACTATTTAACACATCTGCCTTTAGAAGTATAGGTATCAGGCTTCAACCCACTTTTTTTTTCTTCAGATTTAAAGTTATTCAGAGTTATTTTTATCCAACAAGGACAACAGTTTGAACACGGTTTCATTGGTGCAAACAATACACGGATGTTGCACAACACAGGATTTGACGCGACAGGTGTATGTATATGACAGAATGTAACACGGCCTCATGTACTCTATAGTGCAGAGGAGAAGCAATATATCACAGCACACTAAGCATAAACACAATGCACTAAGCATAAACACAAAGCCAAGGAATTGTTCCAATGCAGCAGCATTAACACTTCTGACAACACCAGTCTGTGTGCGCTTCAGCAATGTAAATAAAATATAATATATAATAAAATATTAGATTAAACCGTGATCAATTCTATTGATGTGTGACTCTCGCATTTCAAAGTGTTTGAAAACAATGACTCAAACCTGTATCTTATTTTCTTCTGCAGACCGACATGGTCTCAAGGAGCCAAAACGTGTGGAGGACTTGCAGAACCAGCTCATCGCTTGCCTAAAAGATCACCTCTCTGGCTGCGGCTCCGACTCGTTGCGGCCAAATTATATGTCCAGACTTCTCGGGAAGCTTCCTGAGCTCAGGACTCTGTGCACTCAAGGCTACCAGCGTATATTTTACCTTAAATTAGAAGATCTTGTTCCCCCGCCGCAGATTGTGGACAAAATCTTCATGGATGCGCTTCCGTTTTGAGTGTGAGATGGGAGAGCAGTTCATATGAGAGCCAAAGAGAACAGACTGAGGATCCTGGAGAAGAAGAATCCTAAGGGATTATGCAGCTCTTGAGGAAAAGGCCTACATACCAGTTATAAAGCAAATTAGTTATAAAACTTGCAGATGCAACATGTACGAGGAGCCGTCCCAAAATGCTCTTCCTTGTTTGTTTTTCCAGGAAATTGTGTACTCTGTAGACGGGCCGCATGGACCAAAAGGTGACTGTTTACATATAACAAGGTGCCCTACAAAAGGAAGATGATTGCATTTTATAAGCAGTTACAAATTGAATACAAATCATATCTGCACCATCATTATAAGAATGTAAGCGCAATAATCTTGTTTTTTTAATAACAATCTTTCGACTGTAAATTGCACATAGAATATCCGACAAAGCATCATCATATCTTCAGCTCAACGATTAAAAAAGGTTATTATATTTCAGTTTAGATTAAATACTTCAGGTGCGCCAGGATGTTTTCAATTATTTCACAGAACCACTCAAATACACTTTTCAGCCTCAGAGTCCCTCAGAGCTCCAGTTTGCTTTATAGCTAATGCCACCATATGATTTGGTGATAATACAGTAGGTTAAACCTACAGAATCATTCAGTAGTATCATTCATGTATCATGAATTTACATTGTGCAGCTATACTCTGTATTGTCTTATACACTGGACTTATGTAGATTATTTTGAATCTGTTTTAAACCTGTTTAAACACCTGCCGGTGTTGTTGCCACATTAACTGTATTCTGCAGTTTGGGCGAAATGAAATTTGTTTGGGTTTATTTTTACATACTAAGAGATTATATTTTACTGAAACTAAACATGAAATAAAATGTAAGACTGCATATTCCAACTGCTTTTGTCATTTTTACTATTTGTCCCTACTTGCACTTGCACAAAATATTACTTACTTACTTATATGACTTACTTAATAATAAATAAGTTAGTCTCCTGTTTATTCTTCCATTGTGTGTATCCATTGTGCATTGCTGTGCCAGCAGCTTATAAGCCTTAGTGAATTATAAATTCTTTAGTTGGCAACAGAACAGTTGCTGAAAAAAATGTACCCCCCTTCACCTCCCTCCTAGTTATGTGCTGGTCTTTATTTAGAGTCTGGTTGAATTCCCAGTCCGGTCTCAAGTGACTCAGACAACTTCATCATTGTATAGTGCAACACTCTCACAAGAGTGTGTGTGTGTGTGTGTGTGTGTGTGTGTTAAAACACAAATGTAAATCTTGTACTGCTTGAAGTAAATGTTGTTACAAGACAATAGGAGATCACATAAATGCACCAGTTAATAGCATGTGGGCCTATATGATCTACTATAATGGTCCAAAACAGGCAAAGTCCCAACACCTGCCTTGAGTTACTAACCCAGTGTCCGTTAGCTTTTAGTGCCTACAGCCATTTTGCTACGACAGTGAGGCTAAGATAGCTTACATTGTGAATCTGGTGGAGGGAGCCGCACTTAGCTTACACAATGCCCTCTATAAGCGAGGTTCCCCCACAGTGTGACACCACCACAAATGTGAGGGAAAGAATATGTATGCATTAGCAACAGAGGGTTTAATAAAGCCTTACAAGGTTAAACCTATGGCGTACTATCCCTTCACCTGCTTTAACTTGTCGCCTCCCACAAGTGAACACGAGTCAGGTGCTCTGTTCCCCACAGGTGTAAGGGAGCGTGGCCCAGGAAACAAAGGGAAGAGAATTGATTGGGAAGGGAATTTTATTTTTTGTATGGGAGAAGAGACGGCATTCTTCTGGGTTAAAATACCCACTTTTAGCTCCTTTTTATGGTGGTACATCGACAGACTGAAGACTACTGAGTACTGAGGACCATAAAGATTGAGCAGCAAAACAAACCAAGGCCGGATAATTTTTTTCCCAACCCAACATCCAGTGAGTTTGATTCCTTTTTGGAGATTTATTGCATTGCCTTTTCCTGGATTATATTTTTGTATTGTGAAGGGAGGAAATTCAACCTTTTTTTGTTGGATTAAAACGGTCACATTAAGGAAGACAGTTTTTTTGAGTTGGACAAATTTTGGATTAACCCAGTGGACATTCCTCCAATTAGGTTTCTTGTGCTGTTATACGGGCGTGGTTGTTCTCTTAATAAATCACATCTAAGCAAACAATTAAGTTTCCTCTTAGTGCTTTCCTTTGGTAAGGTCAGGGGGGATTTAAAGGAAACTCAAATTATTTTCAGTTCCTCTCTTAACCAGGTCTTCCTATCATAGAGGCCCTTGAACTTAACTTGTAACTATTGTTTTAACGGCCCTGTCATGAGAATGAGAAGAGGTTACAGTGTTGACATTATTCCAAAACTGTCTATGAATTGTGTTCTAGAGATATCTACTGAAATGAGCATGTTAAACAGCTAGCCTTGGGCTGGCCAACCACCATTGTTTAGCTTCACCAATTTAAACCTTGGGGCAGAAGGTGGGTGTGTGTGGGGGGTGTGTGTGTGTGTGGGGGGTGCGGGGTGGACCGTGGTAGCAAATTGCCAATACTATACGGAAGCTGCTACGGTCTGATTGTTCAATTGTTTCTCAAGCACAACACCAGATGAATAACTGAAAAATACTCAAATGTGGGCAACAATTCAGAGGACTGGAGACAGACTACAGCCCAATAAGAAAGTATAGATCTTTACAAAGGGCCACTTGCACTTTGACGCATTTGTCTGATTGTAGATTACTTAAAAGGCATCATGAAGAACACATTTTGTGGTGTATCTTTAACTTCAGAATCCCAGTCACTCAGCACATATCTTCAGTTGCTGTCACATAGTAATGCCCACTATATATATGACATTACATGTGGGCTTATCACGATGCTTCAGATGTCATATCAAATACTGAGAACAGTCTTTGCTGTTGGATTGAGAGGTAATTTACAGCTACGTTATCTGAGCTGGTCTCATGCTTCTCTTGAGTTACAGGATCTGAAATGTTTCTTCTGGTGTAATGAAACTTAATATACAAGTTGGAGGCCTTGATAACTTTGTAAATGTCGGACTTATGCAACAAGAGCAGTTCAAGCCAGCATCACTCTGATTATAGAACATACTTCACGTGGGTGATGGTACGCTGATAATGATAAGGTGAGTAGGGCAGCTCTCTCATGATCCACCCATCATGCCTCAGTGGAAACTGGGGCGAGAGCAACTTGACTGCAGCTTGTGTGAGTGGAGTATGAAATGACAGTGATAATAGAGGAGCAGGCTTCAGACAGAGTTACAAGATTATAGGCCAGTTCCGAGACCAAATTGTTCACTCCATACTGTGACTCTTGTGTCCTGGAGAATATGACAATGTCACATTAATAAAAGAAGATCGACAGAGAGCCTTATTATAACATTTTGTTGATTGTAAATGTGAACCTTACGCTGGTGCTAGAGAAAAGTCAGGGGATCATCAAAGTCAGTAGGATTCATCCTCTGAGGAACATGAAGGTCTGTAGAAAATGTCATGGATATCGGATAGTTGAGATATTTCAGTCTGGACCAAATTGGTGCACCGACTGCACAATATGCTCTTTGAAGGAGAAGAGAAACTGCAGACAAATAGTGTTTTCCTAAGCCACCCTAATTATGCCATAATTAGACATGTATTTTAATCACGCCACTTAAATAGGAGAGGTGAAGAAGTTTCTTTTGTGACTGTATACTTTTTGTCTTTGCTCAACTGGATTGGGCGGTGTCTTGTACTGGACACTCAGTTTGGAACAAGATGTACTGAGGCTATTTAGTTTAATTTTATGCTGCTGGTTTATAGAGTTTATATATGGATTTGGTATTACACTTCTAGCCAAGATTTAATAATGATTTGTTACTAATCTATTACTGATCTTGTTACTGATATTTTAGAGGAAAAATATTATTATATTGGACAAACACCAACATTTTCATCATAGATTAGACTGGCATTTAATTGTATGTTTATATGCATAATATGGACATTGCCAGCATTGAAAAGTTGAGTTAAGTTTTGAAATAGGCTACAGAGTATTTCCATTTTATGCTACTTTACTACATTTCAAAGGCAAATATTGTACTTTTTACTTTTCAGATTAAGAGTTGTCATACAAAAAATAAGATCAGCTGATAACGTATGATTTATTGTTACATTTTAAACTATCCAACAGTATACATAGCAGTAAAAAATTGCACCCCATGTACAATCCAGTAATGTGATAATATAACACTGACAGCGGGCATTCTGCATGAGTATTTTTACTTTCAAAACTTTATATTGTGTTGCTAATACTTCAGTACTTTAACTTAATTTTAAATGCAGGATTGTAACAGGTTGTGGCTATTATTGTGTGTTTATGTTGCCTTGTGTTTCTTTAATATGTTGTTTTAAAGACCCTTTGTTGTAAATCAGAAAAGCATCTTCCACAATAGATTCTCAGGAGCTCCTTCTCCCAGGTATGGCACACCGTGCCAATTAACATTACTAACTTCGGTTCAGTTGGGAATACATGACACGTAAGCCTTGGCAGTGACAAGTTCAAGAGTTCAGAACTAACACTAGCTTCTACATACCGTATCTCTCAGACGGGTAGTAACAGATATACAGTACATCTAAGAAGGCAATGCTTCTATAGACACATCGGTCCTGTGCAGACAGAGGTCCTGCATGTACTCTGCTCTGAGGAGTCGTACTCATCCTTACAGATAGTGACAGGGCAGCACAGAAGCCCGTCTGAACACTTCTAATAATAGCCACGACTAAAATAGACAGTCACATGAAATCAATAATGCCACTTAGATATGACAGAGTTCTCTGGCTGGCTGGCCGGCCGTAATTATCCTGACACTCGTCACACTGAGGTCACTCAGCTCTCACCTGGAGACATTTTCTCAAGATCAACATTAATGTCACCTGCCCACTGGTGGAAGTAAACCAGTCACACATACTGTATTTAAGTACAAATTTGAGGAACTTTACCTGTCTTTCATGAAACTTTCTACTCCTGCTCTACTACATTTCAGAGGGAGATATTTTTTCTTCACTACATTAATCTGAAAGCGTTACTTTATAAATGAATATTTTTGCATACGAAACATGAATATCTTACTATGAATTACCCAACAGCACAAGTACAGTTGAAATAATTAAATAGTTATTTGGCAATTACTTAATTTTTCATGCAAAAACATGTCATGGTTCCAACTTAAATAATTTGTTGCTTTTCCTTTGAATTACTGCAATCATTTCAATTAATTTGTAATGTCAGGTTTGGACTGTTTTCGATAAAAACAAAGCATTGTGAAGGTGTCAACAAAAATAAGCAGATTAATACATAATTAATAAAATTAGTTAATAGTTAAAAACAATAGCCCAACCTCAAACAACTACAAAGGTAAAATCTTTCCTTTACATTCATGCATAAATAATAATCTAAAATATAATAGTATAACAGCCACAGGGAACATTTTTATTTTTAATAATTTAAGTACATTTTCCTGATGCGTTACAGTGCAGTATTATTACTTTTACTTAAACAAAGAATCTGAATACTGCTGCACCTGCCGAATATTGTACTTCATGCATGAAAAGTGTCTTTATTAAAATAGTTTGATAACCAGAGGAGCTCCTTGAATCAAGAGGAGATGCATCAAATAAAAAGAATGAAGTTTCAAAGGGAAGTAGTAAGATAGTGATGATGTCAGTGCTTGGCTAGTATTGCCATCCAGTGGTCATGTGATGACAGTGTTACTATGTTTACTGTTAAATAGTGTTGCCACTGAGGCTCAATAGAATGCATCTTCCTCAATAATTGCCAAACTGAGAAGATTTTCAAACTGTGCACATGCAATTGATTTTATCAAACATTTTCATAATTAACCACACAAAATGATTTGAAATCAACACCTTTAATATAAAACCAGTGACATTTGTTACTGTAACAGCAGGGAAGGTTAGACAATACAGAAAAAAAAAATGAGGCATTAGTTTTGAAGCATGTACAAACACCGTCACTAAACTCGGCAATTAGGGTACTTGCCACATCAAGGCACTAAAAATGAGATAACCAATGGACAATACAGTTATGCAAATTAAAAAGGAACAGCATGTAGCATTTAGGGAGATCTATTGGCTGAAGGTTTCAGTTGGTTGCAATCTGTAACCTCACCACTAGATGCCTCAAGTCCTACCTTAAAAAATTTGTGGGCAAAAACTTGCTAAGAACAAACATTAGAAGAAATATCTATACATAACTACATATAATAGGCGTAACATTAAGCTTTAAATTGGATACCCAGTACATTACGGCTTACATCGCAGACCATGGGAGGGTATTGGGAGGTCTAAAATTTGGCTCCGGTCTGCAGAGAAACGAGACAGAACAGTTAAAAGTACAAAGAAAATATGCACAAACAGGTGCTAAGAGCTGAAGCAGACCACTTACTTTGGATTCAGGGCTGTGTTTTCACCCCACACAAATGGAACAGCAGCATCATCAGCCTCTGCAAGACAAAACTCTCAGTTACCTTAACAGACTAAATCAATGTGTTCAAAGTCTGGTTCAGAGTACGCATGGGGAGAAAAACAATACTGCTTTAAGATACGGTGTATTGAATATTTCTAACTCAAGCACTGATTGTTCCTTTAAAAGCATAGAAATACTCTTTCTTGCCGATAGTTAAATAAGGAGATAAATACCACGCATGTCTGTACGCTTAATATGAAGGCGGCAACGGTTAGCTTAGCATAAAGACCGGAAACAAATAGCCTGACTCTCTCTTGAGACAATCCACCTACCAGCACCGTCAAAGCTCACCAATTAACACATTATATCATGTTTGTTCAATCACAAAAAAAACAACAAGTTGTGGTTAATAATTATACCTTTGTCCCAATCCTCAGACATGTCCTGGTTTACCCAAGTACTGACTGGGACCTGCCATTGAGAATGCCCATTGGTGCTTCCCCCTGTAAACACAACATAATCCCACTCAGGTACACTGTAAGCACACGTTGACTCCGCAGGGTAAAGAAGAGACAATAAAGTGGTTGTATTACCATCTTCAGTGTCCACGGATATCCTGTCCTCACAGGTTTCAGTGTGGCGTGTCAGCTCATGCTTGTGGACCAGGTGGCGAGCATTAAACGGGCAGGTTTTCAGCTCACTGGCCAACTTCGGATGATTCTATGAGAGAAAAGAAAAGGAGATTTACAGTTTTCAACCATACATGATACACACATCCTTGCATGTCAATTTACAATATTTCCATACTTGCTGGTGTTAGCGGTGAACAAGCACTCGACTCACCTTTCTGCACTTTATAAGATGGTAAGGGAAGCGGCAGGCCCGGATGAGGTGGTTCTTGTCAAAAGGGCACTGCTGAAGTTTGTCAGGGTCACAGTTTTTTTTTTCCTCTTTAAAGTCAGAGAAGAACAAATGAATACATTTCACCCTTTAATATTTACAACTAAAAAAAAGACAGCAACTTAAGATGTTGAAAATGTATTAAAGCGTCTTGAATATTACCGGTTTCCTCGTCCAACTGTGCTCTCTCACCAGCTGCAGTGTTGCATGGAGAGCTAGTGGTTCCATATCTGATCGTGGTCGCCATCTCTAGCTGTGATGTACTGAAGATACACCAACTAGCTAAAGGCAAAGATGCAGAATGCAAAAAAAAACACAATGTAGACAAAATAAACAATAGTGACCGGTTTCTAGATGCACATGCATCATTCAAAAGCTGCAGAACTATGACCAATCAGATCATCTGCAGGATTATGTCCAACTCTCCAGGTGTGGCAAATTATTGACCTGCTGAAAGTGTGTTTGTTTGCTGGTGTAGCTAGTTTTGTTTTGAATATTAGTCCTGAGCACATCTAGTTTTAGTACAACTGCAATGCAAAACAGGAATAGTAAGACAGGATCATAGAGTCCACTTAGAAGCAGATATGTGGCCTCAAAGGACATTCATGAGAAACAAACGATTAGTTACAGTCTCGTGCTTGTTAGTCTGAGGTGGCCCATTAGCCACCTGAGGAAACGACAACCTGAACTATATTTGGAAGAAATGTATTCGCACCAGGACGCCACCGACTTTGATTCAACTTCCAAATTACTTTAGCACTAGCTAGCTAGTTAGATTATTTATTGGTTACTGTTTTACTTTATTGGTTTACGGTTTTAAAGGCCCCCCCCCTCCCCTCCCTCCCTTATTACAGGTCGGCCTTTTTCAATCGGGCACCTGGAAGCGTGCAACTAAGATGTTTTATTTTAAATGCGGGTGTATTTTAGAGCAGTTTACGTGCGACGGCAGATTTTTCAAGAAATATTGTTTGCACTGTAAACATTTAATCGTCAAACATTGCTTTTAAACAGTGCATGCACACAAAAAGTTGGCTAGTAACGTTTGCTAGCAAAAACTTGGCAAGACGCCTCTTAAAATTAGTGACATTTCTAAAAAGTAACATTTCAGTTCTTAACATATGTTATGAATACAGTCTGTTGATAAATGTAATTTCTACGAATAACAATCTCATAAAGACCTTTGTTTCCAGCCTGCTTCTCTCCTGCTCGCGGGTTCGATGATTTTGTAGCTCCGCCCCCAACTTTTAGCGAACATCGTTAAGTCACGTGGTTTCCAGTTCACGCGACAACTACTCTGCTTAAAATCTGTAAAAAATAACATTAGATGAATTCAAATTAACAGAAATTTCGTCACTAATATCTGAAGATGTGAAATAAATCAGCAAAGTATAGATTATGTGTAGTAGTGGAAGAAGTATTCAAACAACAATATGTGAGCAAAAGAGGTATTAGCAAGAAAATGTACTTAACGCACCAAAGTTAAAGTACCAATAAATAACAAGTACTAATAATCCCTATCAGTTGTATATTGTCATATTTGTGTTGTTGATACATTAATATGTAAGTGGTACTTTATTGTTGTAGTTTATTCGCAGCTTCAACTGTTTTAAAAATCAAATTGTCTGAGAGGTTGTTCGCAATACAACTGTTTTACTAAACTATTGGACCATTACTTACAATAAAATCGTACAACTGGATTGTTCAACAACCAATTACACGTTGCTGAGGCAGGGCCTCAATTTAACCCTTTTGGATTGTTGGTGTATTTAAGTAGAGTATAAGTAATGTTATTTTCTACCACTGGTTTTAAGTTACCATATCATAATACTCATATGAGTATATGTATATATACATGTATATATACATATATATCATATATATATGTATATATGTACAAAGCAGATATTACGGTAACATAACTGCTTCTGGCTTTGCCGTATATGAGCATCATTACGGTAACTTAACTGCTTTTGGCTTTGCCGTATATGAGCATCATTACCGTAACATAACAGCTTTTGGCTTTGTCGTATATGCGCATCATTACGGTAACGTGGGTGGAACTTCAACTGTCAAACATGGCGCTGTTCAGCTCCGGCCTGTGTAGCCGTTTGTCTTTGACCCAACTATGTGGTCTCCGGACAAACATGATAACAAATGGCCTTTACTCTCCTTATGTGTCCTGTCAGTCCAGGTATGTTTAAAACACTTGATACTTCATTTGTCCACGATTTGTGGGTTTGTTTTTCTCGCGTCTGACTTGAACCGTTGCTAACTGAAGCTAGCTGCATATCAGGACATGATGTACCGTTTGTGTTTGAGAAGACATATGTAGACAGATATATGATAGAAAATTAGTTGTCCACTCTATATTGAAATCATAGTACTTTGCTGTGTCTTTACAACACGTCCAGCATTAAACTACCTGTGATTTTAATATACTCAAACACGTGAACATGGAGTGTAGTTTCATGTCCTGTATCATTAAGATGGATATAAATAATGACCAAAGTTAAATGACATTCCGACTTTTGACATTTCTTTTTTCATATTGATAATTCAAACTCGTCTATTTCGATGATTAATCTTTCTTATGGGTAAATATCCCTTTCATTGTAGCAAGTGGATAAATAGTGAGCCCTCCTTTATTTTAGGTTATACATGATTTAAAACAATAGTTTTCTCATAACATAAAACAACGTACTGTAGTAAAATAGCAAGAAAGATTTGTGGAGAAATGTCTCGTTTTATTGTTTTGATTTGTCAATTATTTTTTAAGTCTTCCTTCCTCTTTGATCTTTTTTCTTATCTATGCCTAGTGATTAAAAAATGTTAATGTATATGTAATTAATATATTTCTGTAAATAGTTTAATTTAACCCCCCTATATTACATTTGTATTTAATGTATTACTTTTATTAAAAAAAACGTTAATACTGTGTTATATTATATTCTCTGCGAGATGTTGTAGGTCTGTTAATTTGTGTTCAATGAAAACAAAACGAGAAGATTTCTGGCGTTTAACTGCTGATCTTTTCGTGTGATTGAATGTATTCATGTTCACGTCTTCTGCTCGACAGGTTGCCTCTGTGCAGACACTACTCATCATCTAAAGTCAGACGCGGTATTGGCCGATATGTCGCCTCCAAGTTCCAGACGATAAATGCCAAATATGAAGGTTTCCTCAAAAGGCGATTTCCCCGCTTTTATCAACTCTATCACACTTTCACAAAAGGTAGGATCAACGTTAACTCACCTCTGGCATCTCTAAGACTATATTTCTAATGTTATATACTGTAGATACTTTTTGCATATCTTATGTTAGCTGTGTTAAACTGCACACTGGTTGTGTAGCTACACAGTTTTTAACAGTAGTTCCACAATTTCCAAAGTGGAAAAAATTGTTGAATGAATTTCAGTTCAGAAACAGGAACACAATGTCAAATTCACTCTGTTGGCTCTTATACACACTTACATTGTATTGCACTACATGATTGTACCTTGTTTCGTTTGCACCTTATGTGTAGTCTGAATGTTGCCTCATTCATTCTTTAGGGTTTTTTGCACTGGAGACCAGGAAAAACACAGTTTTGTTCCTTGTACCAAATACAAGACACAACTACATAAATAGTAGTTAATAAAAACAAAACACATGGTCATATTACATATTAAAACAGTTCATATTTGTAGCTTACATCCTTTGCCGAGTTAAGAATATTGATGGCACTTCTAAAATACATCGTTAGCAGCCAGAAGGACTGTATAGAAGAGAGGATGGGAGCTATCTGACAGGACCGTCCTCGCTTTCTTCATCGTCCTTTCTGTAAAAAGTTGAGTCACAGGCTTTTGGGGTTTACCACCTGTTTTAGCTGCCATTGACACAATCCTTGAAAGTAAATTATTTGATCTACAGTTGAAGTGACCGTACCAGGCAGAAAGTGCAAGTTTAAACATCCATCAATAGCTTTGTACACTAGTTCTAAAATCCCCCGACTAACACCAAGGCCACTAAGTTTCTAGGAAGATAAAGTCGCTGTGAGCATCTCTTGAAAATATACTTTGTATTTTGAGAGGAGCTCACCTGGAGGTCCAGAACTGTACCAACAGGGTATTTTCAGATCTTGCTTTGTGCAGATAACGTATTTGTTTGTCTTGGCCACATTGATTTCCAGCTGGCTAAAGTGACACCATGTTTGAAGGACCTTAGTGTGGGCGAGATACAGGCAGCTTCACCTAGAGGCTCTGTTTCTGTAGAAGGCCAACGAAGAACATGCCATCAGTATACTGAAACATTGTAAAAAGAGGGGAAAGAACATGTCTCACATGCTCCCCCTGTCACAGAGCCTCTGTTTTACTTCTTTATTTTTTATCATTGAATCATTTCAGGATTCAAGCTACTGTTCCAAGACGCCAAAGATGTGCAGATGATAAAAGCAAAGATGTTCTCTAACAGAGTGCAGTATAAGGATTTGCCTTACAGGGAGATGGAGAAGCTCAGACAGGTGGGTCTTCTCCACCACCATGAATCATGTCCAGATATTGTCACATTTATGACCAGATATTGAGTCAAAACATTGTGATACAGTGGTTGTGATGTAATGGATTACTGATCATGTTTGTACACTTTTCTAAGCAACTCTAAGTGTCGGGTTCACATTTTTAAAAAGTCAAATTTTGTTACTTTGGAAGACACCAGCTGAAGGTATAAAAGAAGATTTTACAAATGGTCTTTGACATAAACTATTGAAATGACAAAAGAAGGTAATCAAATTAAATCAGATGTCTGAAATTCAGCAGCAGTTTTCACAGTAAAATAATTATGTTCTGTATGTTATAGCCTCACTAGTAAGCATTTAATACTTTACCTTTTATTTATAAATTCCAGCTATGTAATGTTTGTTATCTCACGGCATCTTAACTCAATTTACATTTGTTTCACAGTTCCGCAGAGACTTGATGAAGGCCCTTCCGCTGGTGGTGATATCAATCCCTCCCTTTGCCAACTACCTGGTTTTTGTCTTGATGTGAGTTACTTTCAAATGACCATCTTTTCATTTCAGTTGGCACCCTTTTGATTCATATTCAGCAAAGAAATGTGAAATTATTGACAGTGATGTTAATTTATATCCCTCAATATTATTGTTGAAATTTTCTTCTTATCGTGTCCATGTTGTTATATTAATATATATTGTTGATATATTAATATATATTTGACCATCCTTCCATGTGTCCCTTCTCTCTCTGCTACCATCTCCTCCTGTTCACTGCCAGGTACTTTTTCCCCCGCCAGCTCCTGATCCCTCATTTCTGGACTCCGAAGCAGCAAGTAGAGTTTCGGGAATTGTACCATTCCCACAGGGTCCTGCACCACTGGCCAGTGCTCAAAGGGCTCGAGAGCACGAGCCAACAGGTCAAAGACGGCCAGCTACAGAGTCGCCTGAGGGACCTGTGTGCTAAAGTAAGTGAACACTGAGGAATACTCTCTATATTTAAATATGACGGTGTACAAAACAGATCATATCTTCTCCTTTCACACAATAAAAGCGCTGCAAGGATGACGTGTTTTTGTAGGCCCACCCCAGAAGTTAGCATCACACTAGTTCCCTCAACAGAAAGATTTTTCTATTTGGTTTTGGATTACTGCAGAAAATAAGCTCTGTGGCAACATAATCTTCACAAAGGAACACCACTTTTATGATTTTGTAAGCATACATACAATCCCCTGCAGTAAAAAGCTAACATTAACAAACGAACTACACCCCAGTCGCACGACTTCATGTCACCACCACGAAGCTGAAGGCAGTCTAGTGTTCGGCGTATTGACGTTCGTTATTTAGATGACGTCTGTTAAGTTAACAGGAGAAATTTCTCTTTGCTCATTGTACAAATATCAAATTTGAGGTATTTGGTCAAAAACATCATGATTTTAAATTGTTTCCTCTGCTGGTAAAGGGATGTGGATTTTAAGTTATATTTCACATAAATTACTCAATATATCAAATTACAGAATAAATGGCCACTGTCTCTCATTGTAGATTAATACTACAAATTCTTCATGGTTGCACATACAAGTACAACAAGGTTGAACCTGTATCCAGTGTTCCATAAAAGTGGGATGAACTGCCTTCTCTGTGCCTTTTCAGGTGCAAAGCGGAGCAAATCCTAAAGTGTCTGAAATCCTCGCAGTCCGGAGCCTGTTCTCTGGACCTCCTCTGGGTATAAACAGGATGAGTGTGGATCAGATGGTCAGTTACACCCCTCCACTCTTCACAACGTCACACAACGTCTGCACAAACACTCGGTCAACCCGAACGTCACTAGAATATCTCTCCTGTCTGTCTTCACGGCCAATCAGAGATACGTCAGCCCCCTGCTCTTCCTGACTCCTCGCCTCCCGGGTGTCCTGATAGGCCGCCGGCTGAACAGCCACGCCATGGAGCTGCTCCTGCTGGACCGGGCCCTCAGCAGGCTGGGCCCCCACCAGTTGAGTGACTCCGAACTCAGACAGGTCAGTCACTCCACACAACTTAAAACATTTCACATTCACTGGCAATACATTGATTTACATGATGAATGTTGCGTATCCCTCATTAAGCTGTGTTATAAATAAAGAACATTTGTCTCTTTTTCAGGCTTGTTATGTGAGGGGGCTCCATTCTAACAGTCTTGGCATCAATCAATGCCGCGAGTGGTTAACCCAATGGCTTCAGCTGTCCTCCTCACTGAAAGGTATTTTCATTTGGATGTGCACTATTTTTGTAATTTTAGCCCAATCCTGTTGACATCTGTTTTATCTAATATTTAAAGAAGAATAGGAATTATGCTTATTGGCTTTCTTGCCGAGAGTTGGATGAAAAGATCAGGAGTATGTCTGTACTGTAGATATGAAGCGCCTGATTGGCTGAGCTTAGCATGAAGAAGCAGCTGGCCTTGTTGTGTCCGAAGGAAACAAATTCAGCCCACAGCACCTCCAAAGCTCACTAATTCACATGGCATATCTTATTTGTTTAATCTGTACAAAAAAAAGGTGATAAATCAGTTTGCAGTTTTTTTGTGCAAAGTAATTTAGTTAGCCTAACGTCACTTATGATGGCTTGGCACAGAACTCAAATCCTCCTTTTGAGAAAAATGTATTGGCCGAATTAATGTAGCAATATGTCCAAATAATAGAATCTAAAAAAACAGAACAGTAAGGAAAAATAATACTTTTTTCACAGTGAGGAAGAAAGACACTAACTGTTAATCCTGTTAAGCTCCACAATAGTTTCCTTGTTATACCAGCAGGATCATAAAACTCAGTTGGGTTGAGTCTTTCAAGTTTTGGTGCAATAGAATTAAATTGAATCTAAGTTAGATTAAAAATTAAAAAACTGATGTTTGAATTCAATCTCTTTATTTCAAGCTAGTTTTAAAGTTTGCATGATTTAATCAGGTTTAAAAATCAATCAATTGTGATACAACCTGGCCTGTCTTTACATTGCAAGTAGTCGTTTGCTGCTATATTAATGGTCTTAAATAGAATTTTAGCACCTTTTTAAAAGAGTACATCACAGATTTGGCATCGCACTCCTACTAAATTGTCAGACTCAAAGTTAAAAAAGGATCAAAATCGATGCAGCAGAACCAGAGATATTGTTGTTTTTATTCCATGCATTCTTTTTCCTTGTCAATACCTGACTCCTGCATTACCCACAATGCACTTGTGGTCTTCAGGCCCATCCAATGCTGACTCAATTAATCAGACTTCATGCAGCACCGTCTGGAGCCACAAAAGGCTTCTTTACAACTGTTTCCACTTCCATAGTCGTACCCCAAAAGACTTTTATGTGGAGTTCTCCTGTAATGCCTCGATATAAACTTGGTATTGATCTTCTCATCTAACTCTCGCACTATTCCCTAATTTGTCTATTCTAAAACGTAATACTGTTGTTTTTTTATGCCTGTTTTGTTTGATTTTCTGCAGACTCAGAGGTGTCACTCCTTCTGCACTGCATTGTGTTTCTCTCTTCCAACTCCCCGACCGGTGCCAGCCGACACTGACAGGAAGCAGGAAGCAATCTGCTTTTGTGATTAGGTCGTCTCTTGTGCAACGGGCAGCACAGCTTCCTAAGAGTTGTCAACATCTCTATTTTCTTGTTCTTGGCAAAATTATGAGGTTTAAGAAAGGAAAAAAAATCTTTACGCCCAAAACTTGAAAGGATCCTGATAAGTCCAGAAGGCTTAAAACTGTCCTGTTTTCCAAATACATTCCCAGTAAATAGGATTTATTTGGGAAAAATCGTATGAATCCATTTAGTCTTCATCAGGGGAGTGGTATGGGATCTTACTTAATAAATTAGCACATTAAGAGAGGTGCATGTTGACTTCAAAATCTTGCTTATTGGAGTTATCGTGTAATTCAGACCCTCAAGAGGGACTTAAATTGATTATGATGCACTGAACCATATTAAGTGGCGTTGTTATAATTACCTGTCGCTGTATCTCAAGCTTGATACAACTGTTAAGCTCAGGCTCGTCATTTGTTTACTGCTAAGCTAACACATCATTACACACCTACTTGGACAAAGAGGATAGTGTTTAGTAAAAGTTAATTTTTGACTTGTAGAATTGTTCACTCATTCCTCATTAAAATTACAATGCTTTTATGTGGGCATGTTAAATGTCATAACATGTACACATTAAACACGTACTGTAGCTTCTCATACATTTACCTCACTTATGTGCTCCGCTGTTACTTCTTTACAATTAATAACTCTGTCCAGACGGGAATTTTCTTGCAACAGTTTTGAGGGAACAACATAATTTTGTCACGCAGGGAACAACCGGTCGACATGAAAAATCGGTAGAATACACAAAGGCACCTTCTAAAAAGAAAAAATGTTGATGGATCCTCTATAGAGATTTAAAAAAAGAACAATCAATATGTTTGCAATTGCAAAGACATTCAAGCGTGTTTGTGTTGTAATTGAATTTATTTGTTGTTGTGCAGCACAGCACTCGCAAGCTATCTGAAAAATGAAAGTGATGGCAATTTAATTTATTGTTTACTAAATGTTTTCTTGATTTGGAGGCTTAAGATGACATTAACACTTCTGCACAGAATTTCAAGTGCTTTGCTAAATTCAGAGTAGCAGTACAAGAGGAACTGCACGTCTGAACGTCCAGTACAAGAGGAACTGCACGTCCTTCATGCTGGTGTTTGATGTAGGAAAGTGTCAAATAGGAAAAGTCATTTACTTCCTGTGCCTTTCACAAGGACTGGCACACTACATCTAAAATATAAGTTGCAGAAGTTATTTTCTGTTAAATATATATATATTATTTGCTCAACTGGTTTTGAATGTTTTTTTGCTGTGCCAATATTATATACATTTTAATGGAACTGTGTCTGAAATAAAAACCTTTTATGGTGCATTTATTTTTCCCTGTTTGTATTTACACTTCAGATAATCCAGATGTAATTTAAAGAGTCTTTAATAGCAACTGGAAAACAGCGAAACAGATCTTAAGTCTTCTTAACAGAACAACAAAAAGTGTTAGAATTCCTCATAACCAACAAAAATATACAGTAAGGTGGAGTTTATCATTTCTATAATTTCCTAAATGCATACAGTAACAAAGCAGAGATATTGTTAACCTATGAAAATACAATCCAAAATCCCTATACAAGAAAATATATTCTGTGACTTATATCTGAAATATAGGATGAACATATAAGTTTCCAAAAGAAGATCCCACTAAGCGTGACCTGAACAGATGACTCTTCCTCAGCTGTGGGGCTGGATCACATGACTTCGTAGCCGCTGCGGATGCCTCTCATCAACAGGCAGGAGAACACGATGCCCAACACCTGCAATTTAAAACGATCACACACGAGAAGGAGAGGACACATCGGTTTATTTTTCTGCTGGTAATAAAGTTGTGGTTTTTTTTGACAGACTTGCAATACAATCAATCCTTTTAGAAGCAAAATAAAATCACAGTGACATTAAAAATGCAAAAAAACAAACTAATATCAAATTTAGAAGTTTCAAATGAATACAAAAACACATTAAAACTATCTTTCAAATGAAATCATATTAGGAGGTAAAATTTAGTAGTAATATTGTACTTGTTAGGATTTATGCACTACATACTAAGTGTCTGGACAGATTATGTTTTATATTATTGACGTTACGTACCTGCAGGCTCGCAATGACGAGAGCTGCAACGATCACCCACAGGAGGTTTTTCCTCAGGAAAGCCACCAAAGCATCATGACAACCCTACAACAACAAGAAACAAAAGTTAGATTTAATATGGAAATTTCACTGGTTGAGTTATTTATTATTTAACAGTTGTGTTTTGTTGACTTTGGCTTTACTTCGTCTTATAGTTCTGACTGTAAAAAACTGGCCTTGCACATTTGATAAAGGTGACAAAATACAGAAATGACCATAAAGTGTTGTTATTACACCAAATATGGAAATCTTTTACCTTTTACTAGTTGTATGTTCTATTTATAAACCGATATATTCATTAGTGTTTTCCAAAAAGTCAGCCAACATATTTTGAGGTCAGTTTTACCACAGAAATGTCTTATTTACATGCACCTGTGTGGGGACTTGTTACACACGCAAACTGTGTGGGTGCGTGTGTGTTGAACACCTATTTGGCACAGAGAACCATCATCATCCCATTGGACTTGTTTCTGTCTAATATTTACTTTATGTCCAGCTCCGGTTTCGTCTCAACTCACCATTCTTTAGTTAGCTTAGTAGATGCTACTTTGTCAGCGGTTTGGTACTGAGAGTGTAGTTAACGGTGGGTTCATCAGAGGTCTTTTCTATTGCTGACAGGGTTTAGACTGATAATGAGCTAAAAGAAGATCTAAAGTAAAGTATAACTGCAATGTCGGGTTGTGATTCTCAGTAGGTTTGTCACAATGCACAACCTCTTTCTCTTCTCGCTCTAGTCCAACCAATAAATCAGCTGATGTATTGATGAGCGCTGGTATATCTGTATCGGTCTGTATGTCTGCCGATAATTAAAAAGAAGAATTAAGATAAAGAGACAAAGATAAGTTTAAACAGAAGCTAGAAACGTTGCACTATTGCATAGTTTGTCCGTCTGGTAGCACGGACTAGTTTTTCATCTGTAAAATGTCCTGCTGCGTACACACGTCTTTAAAAAATCATGTTAATGTAAATATAGATTATTTTTAAACCCTCAATTATCAATATTGATATCAGATGGGCTCTACTTTGTTTCCTACAGCCAAATTACAGCTTACTGCTCATGCAAACCCTACATTTTCTACAACTGCTGCTTCACATAAAGGTCTTTCCGCTGTGTTTTATATGTATTATATGTGTAATTCTAACTATATCTCATGCTCAATGACTTTTAAAAACAACACATTGACTGGGGGTTTACCTTCTGGTGCACTTTTTTCGGGTTTCTCATGGTCCCCTTTCCACAGTGGGCAGAGGGAGTCACACAGCATGAGTCAGGCACAGACTTTCCATCTTTTCCAAAGCTACTCCAGTCAGTGGAACTGTTCCCGCCACAGCATTTCATCTGCAAATGAGTCACGTGAAAAACATTTAATATGGTCATGCCGGCAATGTACAGTAAAAGGATGTAACTCGTGTCAACAGATGGTGCAAAGAATAACAACGTCACATCGTGCGGCACAGACCAACAGGATGCAGCGGTGTTATGTGAAGGTGTTGTCAGCAAACAGTGAGAAAGAGAATATACACTGAACTCACATCCTCCTGGAGTTTATCCACGGTCTTTTTGAAGTCATCTGTGCCGTTCTTGTAACCAGTAATCATCTCGGTGAGACTGTCCTGGACGACATTTGACAGCTACATGGGAGGCACAACATGGAGGTTAAAGCACACCTTCTGCAGGGTCTTACATACTGTCACACACAGAAAACAGTGAAACTCGACACTCACTTTTTCTCTGAACATGTATCCAACGATCACTGCTGCGATCTCAACAACAATGAGCAGGAAGAGAAGAATGGCAAACTGGGGAAAACAGAGAAATTAAATGAAATCAACGTAATTACTATTCTAAGCTACATAATACATGTTTTACACACATTATTCATTCCTCTGTACAGCAAAGGTAATTCACCCCTTTTTGCTGTATTGTTTAACAGATATCGCACCACGTGACTTACTGTGGTGACCATGCAGTAGTTCTCTTTCCAGGCACCGCAGCAGCCGAAGAAGGCGATGAAGAAGATCACCACGCCGATCCCGATGATAACAATGGGACCTCCTGAGGCCGACGCGTCACGGATGGCCAAGGTGTTGTGAAGACCTATTTGAACCAGGACTCCCACGATGATCAATACTAGGCCACATAGCTGCAGGGAAAAGAGGGCGGTTAGTTTACGTTCTTTGGGATCTCTTTTCATGTAATACAAATGTTTTTAGCCGACAGATTATCTGGTAACAAAATGGAAGTAAAGAGAGCCTGTAATACTTTAGTTTAATTAGGAACTGAATACCTAATTTTGAAATTTAACTGCTACTAAATATTTACTGTAAATACTCTTTGTATTGTATATTTTAAGCCACGGGATTTAATATTTGTAAAACTTTTCCAAAGCCTGGAAATTACATTTTTTTGTGAATGACGTCACCGCTGTGTACAGGCTTGCAGGGGCATGATGGGAATAACACTACTGCCCAATTTCAGTGGACCGCATAGCTCCGGAAGTAAAACCAACAGTGTGCTGCAGTACTCACTTCTTCTTATACAGCCATGGTTCACATCATGCTAATGTTCAGCAGGTAAAATTAAATACCAAATAATAATAATAATAAAACCAAACAAATTTAGAGGGATGGTTAAGGGTCAAAGTATAATATTTCTATTTGATAAAGTATATATAAATTTCAACATTAGGAATTCAGTTGTGGTTAAATGTAACAATTAGACATTTACATGCTTATAAGATTCAAACGTTGCTTCTATATGAAGACCTTACTCAAACAAAATGATTAAGCACTTATGCTAAAAGCAGATGGGAGGAAGTTGCAACAGGCGTGAGGTGATCAGATGATGAATTGCGATATGATCACACGAGTTACTGCAGTGGGTGGGGTGACGAGAGCATATCGTTCAATCTTCAACAAACACTGTGTGGATGAACTGTTAGACTGGGATCAGCTGGCTCTAAAGCAAACATCACGGTGAACTGCATATCGTTTACTTTCTCATTCTCTTTTGAGAATGAGACTGCATGAGAGTACCTGTCTAAATAAAGGTTGAATAAAAACAGATTCCCTACAGTGTGAGCCTTCGGCAACTCAATGTTACAATTCCACAAACATTCTGGTTCATTCACGCCCTGTAATTCAACGATGTACAAAAATAGCTCACAGTACTCGACACAGGCTGGCTGCATGTCGGGGCTACTGAGGTTTGGGTTTACTAAACTGCAAACGCGATCCTCAGAAAAGCAAAAGGTGGACTATGAAAAAACAAAATGCCAACAAGAATGTAGGGGTGAATGAAAGCAGGAGGTTAAGTGGCTTTGGATGTGACACATCTAAGGATGTGTGACTGACTCCGGCACAGTGCTGAGAGGAAGGGTGTGTTACAGTTTTAGGAATTGTTTTTACATGAGCTTTCATTTCTCCTACCAAAAATGTACTCTGGCCACCAATTGTAGGGGCTCGGTGGCTCCATGCTTTAAAATGTTAGCGCATATCCCTGCTTAAAGGATGAACATTGCTGCTTATTAATATTATCTTGTTTTAATTAATTGTAAACAATTATTTCAGCTTGCTGATAAATAATCAAAACATGTGGATACAACCTTAATAATGCTTATCTTATCAGGCAGACTTTTTTAGGACTTACTATATGAGTCATTACGCAAAAACAAAAACACCCTGGCAGGACAGGATACAGACATAAATAATGCAGTTCATGGTTATTGCATGGTTATCAACTAAACTCTGCCCGCCGACTAGTCTTACTACTCGTCACTTCAGTCAAGGAGACAAGGTTTGTCTGTCTGTTTGTCTGTAGGACAAAACTACCAGCCATATTTTAATGAAACTTCGTGGAAGGGTGTATCATGAGCCAATGAAGAACCTGTTAAATACACATTATTGTTCTCTTCTTTAACGCTGCAAGACAGGGCCTTTGGCCTTGGCAGAGGGCTTCCTTGTAGTTTCATGTAAAATTAACAGAAATGCTCATATCAGGATAACAAAACTATATATTTAGACTGACGGTAGCCTTTGAGTCAGATTATTGTCTGCCAAATTGGTTGTGTATTTTCCATTTTAAACCCTCGCTGCAGCTGAGGACCTCTCCTTGTTGGCAACACCAATGTAAATATTTGAGCTTGAGTCAAATAAGTGGCTAATGTTTGATGTAGGAAAACATTAAAGAGTGAAAAGACCAGGCAAACAGAGCCGGTATCAAAACAAGAACACGATAGAATATTCATCCGGGTTATAACATAACAGTATTATTACTTCTTCTATGAAATATTATTACAATACATATAATATGTAATAATTTTACCATATTATTATTAACTGTTATATCATTATCCGTTTATAAACTAGCCTTCAGTATGTTTGTCTATATACTAGAAAAATAAATAAAACATTTTCCAACATTTTACAGATTAATGTAATCAAAAAATGTATCAATAACGAAACACGTCGCTTCAACCCCTCATATTAAGCATTTATACACTGTATATTAACATTTAATTAATGTTCATAACACACTATAATGTAGTTTAACATACAGGTGGATATGCTATAACAACTGTGTTTCACTTACAAGTAAACACTTGGCTACAACTACATTATAGTTTGTTACAAACATGTATTAAATCATCATGTACTGTTATTAAATGATAAATAGGAGGAGTTTAAGTAACATTATTAATTTGATTAGTCTATAAAATGTTAGAAAACCGTAACAAATGCCAGAGTGGCATCTTCAAATATCTTGTTTTGTCCGACCAACAGTCTAAAGATACTAACAAAAACACCAGCAACAAAAGAAAAGTAGTATAAAAGTGTCACCATGAGTAATGAAAACCATTTCTGTTGGAAGTGTTACGAGTGTGCAATGTGTGGAGGAACTAAATAAAATGTACCTCCTCTTCCTGTCCTATGTGAGATGATTATCGATGTTTTGGTGCTACAGAGTCGACGGTGTGGAGCTTTCAGTAGCACAGTTGCACTGACGGAGGGCAGTAAAAATAAATAAAGTGTTGATCTGGACATGTCACATGACGCCGTTCGTTACACTTTTCAATCTGGTCATAAGATTCACATTCCATCATCACCTCTCTGTCAAGCTCACAAACGAGGAAACAGGAAACGCTCCGCTTGATCCAGGATATTTGAGATGAATGCCCCAATGTTCATGTTCTGTGCAGTCATAATTTGATAATAAACAAACATGTGAGCCAGTGAGTGTTCAGGTAGAGTAAATCAAGAGGGGATGCCAAAGGTCGTGTGTTTGCTCATCAGCTGGTTTTACAGATGAATACTACAATATATGTCAAAGTAGGGTAACAAGACCAGAGTTCACGCTCACAGTCACAAGGGCTGGCAAAAGGCCAAAAGGCCACATAACTAGTCTGTATTTCAGCCAAAAAGATACGCTGAAGTAACTCAAAGCAACACTTGTCAACATCAAGTGGCCTTATTTCCTACCTTGTGGTGTTAGTTGTGGCATTCAAAAAGCTCCTTTCACCTCTCAGTGACAATGTGTTTAGGTGCCATCTGCCTCCACTCTGCTGTCTTTTTGATAAGTAAACATTTATTAAAGAGGTGGTTGAGCGGATACTCACCCAGAAGATGAAGTTGAAAAGGAAAAGCAGGACCTTGACACATTTCATTCCCCCTTCGACGGCCATGGCTGATGATGATCTGTTTCCTGGATCGAAACATGTACACAAACATATTCAAACTAACTTTAGTCGCATTCACTTTTTTCAAGACAGAGAGCGTCACGAACATTACATCAGCTGTAATATGAGCAGAAGATATGAGTCATCTGATGATTTGATAGTTGAGCTATACAAAACGCCTTGAATCTTGATCAAACTACGCATTTTAGTTCCTATGAAGCCACACCAGTTGGTCAGTGAACCACACATCTTACAATTGATTTCACTTGAATTTAATTACAACCAAGACGATGGCACTCATCCATATTGTAAAATATTGTTTTTTTAATCTTTAGGGGCAGGGCTGCTTTAACCAATACGTTACGGTCTTTACAACGCATAGTCTGAAGGGATTAAAAGTGCTGATTTGCGGAAGAAGCAGAGCCCTGTCTGTGCACTGGACCGTTAACCACCGCTAAATTATCAACAATATTGCTTTGTCGCGAAGCCAAATAATTACATCATCCAGAGCCACTTTGTCTTATTGGATTTGTAGAGTTTGACCACGAAGTTAGTCTCACATAAACACAAAAAGATAGACACGTTTCATTCCCGAAGGTGAAACTGAAAACATCCTCTTTTTGACTAACGAGCTGGTTTTGTTGAATATTTAAAAGAAAAAAAACGTTTCTGTTACAAAAGGGCAGCGAAGAAAAGTTTTATTTCGGAGGTTTTAACTTACCTTAAAGAAGAAATCTGTCAAATCCTGCGTTGAGAGGCGAAGACGACAATGTGTTGAAATTTGTAACTTCTTGCCGTTTATAGGACTCGCTCCTCCCTCGGCTCCTTCCCTTCCCACCTCCTCTACTTCTCCTTTTATTGACCTAAACTCATTATGCTGCCTTCAAGGTCTCCTCGTTAAACACACTACTTTCCAAAGACGTTAACGGAGTCTGCTCGATGGTACTAGTCAAAAGAAGTAATACATATTTTATGATATTGTATTATTAATCTGAATTAACTAAGGTTGTCACACAAATGTAGTGGAGTAAGTATAATATTTAATTCTAAAATGTACTGAGGAAAACACTGAAATAAAGTAAAATTGTACTTAATTAGGCCTAGGAGTAAATACGTTGTTACTTCCTACCAATGCACAGCACTCATACTTGTTCATAAACTTGTAAATGAAAATAAATACCATAAATAAATGAATTACTAATGCCTCATAGATCAGTCAAGCTAATGCTAAGAACACATTTTGGGTTGTCTGGATGTTTAGTCTTTCTCGTTGGTAATAACATAGTTATACGTGTTTATCATAGTGTTTATAGACACTTGCATTGCAATTAATAATTGGGTTCTGGTTCAGACCCTCCTGAAACCTTTTCCCAGAAGTACATGGTCCAATCAATCAAAAGGATTTTTTTTACAACCTGGCAAACACAAATTTATTCTGAATAATGGCAAAAAAGTGATAAATGATAAATGTCACAGCTAACAATAGTTGTATACACAACAGGAAGAAAGGCATTGTGAAATATATGAATCAGATAATCTCGCCACTCTCTCATTTCCTAAAGCAGTGACATTATTAATAGTTAAAATGCTGTTACATTCACATGAAATGAAACACTGCGTCAAACTTGTCAAAGGCCTGTAAGAAACCCAATTTCTCAATAACGTCCTCTTCTGTGTAACATCCTCAGACAGACAAATCATTGTCTCCTTGAGCAATGTGTTCAAAGAATTCAAACGACAACCAACAAAATGCAGGAACCTTTCGTAACGAGCTTTGTAAGTAACCTCATTCTGATATGTTATGTTGAGCCTCGACAAAGTGAACTTTTTGCTCAAACTTATGTTCATGTGGTAAAAATCAAAAGTCTTTGTGAATACTATGAAATAATTTAGTGTTCAAAGCTCATATTTTTATGGTTTGAATGCAACACTGTTACATTTTCAACAATTGACTCATGCTGCATGTCTACTCACATTCAAGCTGATAAGATGAATGCAGTGGACCGAATTGTTGACCTCAGTTGAAACAAACACCTCAGTGAGCCACATCTCTGAGAAAACCATAATGGACCTATAATATCAGCTTACTGTAAATGTATCGTTCAAGTCACACTCAGGAACTGAATTTCCATTCGACTGTTTTTTTGAAAAAGTAGATATTTAGCAGAAGGGTTCAGTTTATTCCTGTAAGCTGTGGGACCACAATGATAAAGCAGCTAAAATGCAGTGTCATGTAACCACATACTGCATTAGTTCACCATTCACCATTAGTTCACCATTCACCATTAGTTCACCACGTAGGCCTGTAGCTCAGGGCGGTGGTGCAGCATGCAACAAGAGTCAACAACAGGACTTTCAGCTTTGTGAGGCTGTAGTTAGGCACAGCTGTACTTTGAGCTAGGCTAACATGCTCACAATGACAATGTTAAAATACAGATGTTTAGCGGGATGGTTAAGGGTCAAAGTAAAATATTTCTATTTTATAATTAAAGTATATTTCAATTTCAACATTAGGAATTCAGTTGTGGTTAACAATTAGACATGTACCTGCTTATAAGATTCAAATGTTGCTTCTATATGAAGACCTTACTCAAACAAAATGATGACACCATCAAGGGTCAAGGGTCACCCTTGGTGACACCACCCTCTTTGGACTCATCTCTGGTGGGGATGAGGCCGCCTACAGGTGGGAGACTGACCATCTGGTGACCTGGTGCGGTCTGAACAACTTGGAGCTCAATGCTCTAAAGACAGTGGAGATGGTTGTGGATTTCAGGAAGAACACAGCCCCCCACCTGCCCCTATCACCCTGTGTGACTCCCCCGTCGACGCTGTGGAGTCCTTCCGCTTCCTGGGCTCCATCATATCCCAGGACCTCAAGTGGGAGCTGAACATCAGCTCCATCACTAAAAAGGCTCAGCAGAGGATGTACTTCCTGAGGCAGCTGAAGAAATTCAACCTGCCAAAGACAATGATGGTGCACTTCTACACAGCCATCATTGAGTCCATCCTCTGCTCCTCCATCACAGTCTGGTACGCTGCAGCCACAGCCAAGGACAAGAGCAGACTGCAGCGCATCATCCGCTCTGCCTAGAGGGTGATTGGCTGCAATCTGCCGTCCCTCCAAGACTTGTTCGCTTCAAGAACCCTGAAGCGAGCAAGAAAGATTGCAGCCGACCCCTCTCACCCTGGACACAAACTGTTCGTGCCCCTTCCATCTGGCAGGAGGCTGAGGTCCATCAGGACCAAGACCTCACGCCAAACGAACGGCTTCTTCCGGTCCACAGTCGGGCTCATTAACAGAGCCCGGGTCCCCCACTGACTCTGTCATCCCCAGGACAATTTCCTTCCCTCCCTGCTACTCCCCTGCACATCCCTTCATATTTAAATACACTTGTCACTTTGACATTACACTTGTTAACTGTTATCTGTTTGTTGTGCACTTTATTTTATATTCTTTTAAATTCTATGGTACATTTTAATATGTTTCTATTCCTTGCACTGTTGATTGTTGTTGATTGTCTAATGTTATGCACCACCTGCCATGACAAATTCCTTGTATGTTACATACATTGGCAATAAACGGTTCTGATTCTGATTCTGATTCTGATGATTAAGCACTTATGCTAAAAACAGATGGGAGAAGTTGCAACAGGCGTGAGGTGATCAGATGATGAATTGCGATATGATCACACGAGTTACTGCAGTGGGTGGGGTGATGAGAGCATACAGTTCGATCTTCTACAAACACTGTGTGGGTGAACTGTTTGACTTGGATCGGCTGGGATCAACTGGCTCTAAAGCAAACATTACGATGAATTGCATATCGTTTACTTTCACAGCAGGCGGTCCACGGGAAGGGATTTAACCTGTAGAGCTCAAACAATTCGACGACAAATGGATCCATTTAGTCAGGCAGCAGAAATATATGTATAATATTGTGTATTAAATATATTTTTTATGGACAAATGATCACAAACGTTAGTAGGATTCATCGGGAACATGAATGAATCCATCCTATAGTTGTTGATGTTGGTGCTTTGTGTAAAATGTATTTGATTACCTTTAAATCATCATCATTGTTCATCCCTGGCCCGTGGCAATGAGCAGACAGTTTTAGCCTGTGTGGACATTTTAGTCACAGCACCGGAGGTCACTGTGTGCATGGACAATTATGTGCTATAATCCGGCAACCTTTGTGTTTTTTTTGCTTCTTTTTCAAATGTATTTATTGTGTGTCGGCGGTGGGGGCTTCTGTGTAGGTGTCTCTCGTACAATTTTGAGCCTACTAAAGGTTCAAAATTAAATGATATGGAACAGATGTTGATTTGTCTTACAAAGCTCTCAATGTCCTCAAATTGATGTAATATCCTCTGACTGTCCACAAGAGGGTAACACAGGGTTTAGTTATTGTTGAGTGCTTCTTTACTTTGCACTTAAATGATGTTTGGGAGAATCTTTCAAATGCAACAATTCATTATGATTCAGCAGACCCAGCTTTTGGCAATCTACAAAATGCTTTTAATTGGATGAAGTCAGAATTGTGTAAGTTGAAACTAGTTTTAATTGACAGTAAATCCAAAATTAAGTGTTTTTGAAAAATCCTACTGTATAACGACAGACTCTAATTGACCTATTTGTCAAGCTCCAAACAATTCTGAATGTTATCAACATTTATCTTGCTATGTCGATGTGCATTTTAAACTATTTTCAAGACACTCTTATATGAAATTATATACAGTATATGTTTTTTAATGCTGATATTGTAGGCCTTCGGTGCTATGATGTGATGGTTATAGGTCTTGATTGATTGATGTCATTGTGTAGTGGGACCTGATTGGTCTACGTGGGCCTACCAACCTATTTAAGACATGCTCATCTATTGTTTTGTAAAGTAACCTAATCGATATACCGAAACGTTATCAATAAATATCTCTGAACACAAGTCAAAAATACAGTTGTTTCTTCTATATTGTTTACCCAAGGTATTCTCCTACGCACCTGTCAACCTACTTCCAATTAATTAATTAATTTTTTAACTAAAAAACATCAACATATAAGCTGTTTATTCTTTTAAATTAGTCTAGTCGTAAGTGTATCTCTGCAGTCGCTTGAGAAAGACGTTGAACGCACAGCAACGATGACGACATCGAGTGTGACTCTGTGATTGGCTCGACGGCCTGTAACTCATCCGATCTCTTCCCAGAGGCGGAAGGGGCGGGACAAAACACTACGGAGGTTCATCATGGCGGGATGCATGAAAGTGACAAACGGTTTCACCTCTATAAGTGCTAAATTAAGGGTTTTCATGGTGCTACTTATCTATATAACCCAGACATCAGAACAGCAGGTTACGGGTAAGAAGCAGTGTTAGGCAGCAACAGCGGAGAATTAATGTGATACGTATTTTAAACAAGTTTCATTGGTCAGGCTAACTCATGCTAGCTTGTGTTGGGCTGTTTGGATGTAAGTTAAGTGAAACGGTACAGAGGTGACTTCATGCTGAGCCTTTCTCTGATTCTGTCTCTGTGTAAGGGAGACATTTAATTCGGTTGTATCATGTTTAAAGTTGTCTGCGAACAAATGTGTGAAACCTGAACTATTTAGCTGGAGTTTACGAGCACTGACCCGCCCTCAAGTTATTTCTATCGTGCTAATTATATAACCTGTGCGTCACTGAGCAGAAACAAGTTTGACAGTTGCAGCAATTTGCACGATATTCAAGAAGTGAAGACAATGATATATTAACACACTGTATGAGGTATTTATACCTTGCAAAAATACTACACCTGTTAAGCTTCTGGTATGCATTTCTGTATTATTTTCACCGTTATAATATAGTATTTTGTTATTAACTTATCAAGCAACTTTTGATGCAATCTTAGTATTAACATGCACGTATCTTCTTATCAAACACAGGTAACAAACATCCTGTAACTGATCTCCAGGATGGAGAGGAGTACGTACTGTCAGGGTCCAACAGATTCTGTTACAAAAACTCTGTGTTTCCGACTTGGAGGCAAACATGGACAAGAATTCAGGTAAGTTACACAAACGGTGGTTAGCCGAATCCAGAAATGTTTACTGTGTATTTAATGCACTTTCTCAATTATAAAATGATTAGATAATGTTAACAAAAATGCTGTTATTATCACCCTCAGTCCAGATATCTTGGAGCCACATTTGATATTGTTTAAAAATGTTTTGGTCAATGACATCAAGATAAAACGGGAAGCCTCTGCTGGGATATTGTGTAAACAGTTATTAACAAGAGTTACATCTTACAGCACTTCATCTTAACTTAACAACTGAATATTTGTGATAGGTCAAAGTGTGGAGTTCAAACGTGTTTAAGGTGGAAATTGTGTCGGGTGAGGAGGAGCTGCAGGAGCTGGATCGCTTCAGTGTCTGGGGCTGGTTTCAGAGCTTGTTACGTGAGCGGCACAATGAAACCACGTTTAACATCAACCTGTTCAGCAAGGAGACGTGCTTCAAGGTTGATCCTGCTGACAGAACAAAGTACACTGTCAAGCCCCTTCGTAGTAAGTGGGAAACAAATGCACGCAGTTAACTTGCTGGTTATTGACAGTTATTACATTCAGCACTATGTCCTCTTTTTCCCTTGCAGAGTTTGATATCTATCTGTTTTTGGTTTTCCTCGCTGGAGCGTCTTTGTTTGTCTTTGCAGGATCACTCAGCAGGTCATTTTCCCCAACTCATGTTTCATTGTTAGGATTTTACAGCATTATGATGTAGTAGTTAACAGTTTTCTTCCCCCCTTAACTGAAGGAGTCCAGTTTTCTTCTACTCTGCTGGTATGAGCACCGGCATGATCGCCTCACTCATCATCCTCTTTTTCATTTTGGCACGCTTTTTGCCAAAGGTGAGGAATTTCATTGCCCACAAATATCCATGATTTTATGGGTTGAATAATTTTGGCCTCATACTTAATGATTGTACTCTTTTGTGTATGTTGTTTCTGCAGAAAAGCCCTTTTTACGTCTTGATTGTTGGCGGCTGGTCGTTTTCTTTGTACGCCATCCAACTCGTCTTCAGGAACCTTGGCGTGATTCTGCGAGAACACTGGAACGTGGCTTTAGGTACCGACCCTTTGTCAACACAAACTTTATAGATAGTCCCTTTTCTGGTGTTTGAAATATCAGACCAAAGACTCTTAAGATGGCATATTAAAGAGCTATTTTTAGACTATACTACACTATATTTGACACCTTGAGAATCACCTTTTTAAGTTGAAGGGTACCTTTGGATACCTTTCAGTATAACTACTTTTGTTGGATGATATATTATCCCACAAATGATTGTGATAAATTATATTGTAATTTTAAGACAGTTTATTGCAACAGATGTAATGATACAATAGCATAACAATTCAAGTACGCCCTTTCAAAGAGCAACTTTTAATTAATTTTGGGTTAGTTCTTTCTTAACATGGTAAATCAATGTGTTTTTGTGTTTTTCTCAGGTTATGTAGCAGTGGTGGGATTCATCACATTTGCTGTGTGCTACCGTTACGGTCCTCTGGTGGATGCGAAGAGCATTAACATCTTGTCATGGACGCTGCAGCTGTTTGGCCTTCTTCTGATTTATTTCGGGATTCAAATTCAGCAAGTTGCATTTGCCATCATCGTGGCAGCTGTGTTCTCCAAACATCTGCAGTACCCAGTGTGTCTGACGGTTGCTGCATGGAGGTGGGTGTTCACAGTACCGACAGAAGGTGGCGTCAGAGTACCGTAATATATGAAATCTATAGTTCAAGAGTCAAAGTCTTGCATGATGTCTGCTTATTTCAGAGTTTTGGATTTATCCGAGTTGACGTTGAAACAGTGATATTGAATTCTCCCTCTTTTAGAATCAGTAGTCATTTTATTTTGTTATCATTTAGATATTTTTTAATTGAGTTCTTGCTGTGTTGTGCAGGAAAATCAAAGGGTATGTTCGCTGGAAGCCGGAGCCACGTCGCCTGTTGACTGAGGAAGAGTTTCAAAAGCAGGGGGAGGAAGAGACTCTGCGTGCTCTGGAGGAGCTGAGGAAGCACTGCAGCAGCCCAGAGTTCAGCCCCTGGAAGGCAGTGTCCAGGCTGCAGTCCCCGAAAAGGTGCCTGTCCTCACATTCTGTTCCCAGAAGTTTATTATTCATTAAAACACATTTATATTAAGCTGCTTCAACCCAGCTTGGTTTAATAAAAAATAGAAAGACACTCTTCATTTACATGAAAAAAAATATATATATCTATCTATATATATCTATATCTATATATCTATATCTATATTATATATATATATAATATATATATTATATATTATATATATAATTTATATATATTAAAAAAAGCACCATATACATTCATTTTATACTTGTATTTACTCCTATTTTAACTAAAAATGTGACTTCTGAAACCAAATGGCTACACCCGTCATGGTTCAGGTGTGTATTTTGTTTTTGTAATTACTTTAAATCACATTGTAGAGATCTGTTTTCACCTCAAATCTACTTTGATTAAATATTGTAAAACATGAACTTCCAAGAGGTTCCATACTTTTTATATGCACTATATGTTGTTGCCTGAACTGATACTTATTCAGATATCACAATAATCTTAAAATCCTTTTTTTGATTCATGGTTTATGAATCTAACTCATGCTTGGTTTATTATTGAAGTGTGAGTATAAGTGCATGTGTAGTATGTAGGTACTCCTACAGACCAGGACATGGTTATTACACTGCATAACGCGGATATTGTTGCTGATGTCATCACTTTAATCCACAGGTTTGCTGATTTCATTGAAGGGTCTCCTCACTTGATGTCAAACGAGGTGTCTGTTCACGTGCACGAGTACGGCTTTGGAGGATCTTTTTTTGAGGACGAGTTTTTTGACACAGACGATGAAGACGAACTTAAGCCTATGCTGATACCGGAGTGAGACCGCTGTGTTGAGAGACGTACGAAAAACAGTCGGACAATTCTATTATTGCCTGTCAGAAAGGTGGCCAGAGGTCGGCTCTCCGTGGCTTCGACGCAAACGTCCGGACTGACTCGGTGATGAACGCGGAGGCCGGATTAAGAAAACTCTGGATTGTGATATCGGTCAGAGGAGCCACCTTGAGTCCAGACTCTGAACGAAAAACAGGCAGAACAGTGTGGTCACATCTGTTATCGGCTTAAAGAAATGTCAAAGAAATGTCAAAGTAATGTAGTTTCAAAGAATGTGCGCTAAAGCCAAATCTCTTCTTCTTTAGGGAACTAAGGCCTCTGTTAAATTTGAGGTTGCAAAAAATGGTGGCGCTGCGATTAGGGCCTTTTTTTTTTTTGGAGGTCAAAGCAATTTAACTTTTTACAGTGTGATGGGAGCTCGTGTTGTCTTTAGCTTAGGAACGGTTTTAAAGTTTTATTTTTCTAAACATGTGTTCACAGCCCTTAACCTCTAAATGTGTTCTGAGTGTAAAGTTAGACGTAAAGTACACCATGTGATACGGTCGTGGTTATTATTCTATCTTTCATTGTTTTCATGGTCATAAATCAGGAGAAGTGTCTCCAAAGTATTTTGAATAAAAACTATACTTGAACTCATGAATTAGCATCATTGTATAAGATTAGAAGTAAAAGGGGGCAAGATGTTAATTTCATGACCACTGTACTTCAGTAGAATTTTAAGATGCTCCTTCTGTACTCGAGTAGATTTTATGCTACTTTCTGCTCCACTACATTTCAGCGGGAAATATTGTTAATTTTTACTCCGCTACATTTATCCGACAGCTGTAGATCAGGGTTTTACATACAAAATAAAATTAATTTATAGAACGATGCATTTTTAAATATTAAACTACCCAACAGTGTCAAAAGTAGCTTTACTTTGATCAGCTACAACATAAAACACAGCAATGTATCTACTTAATAATAATCCAAAAATCTCAATGAGGGTCATTCTGCTGCTGAATTATTTATTTTTTACTGTCGGTACTTGTAAGTGACTTCTGTAATTTTACCGTAAGGTACTGATACTTTTATTTTAGGTAAAACATCTGAATACGACATCTTCCACCACAAGATTTCTTTGGATTTTCATAATAATTTAAGAGATTTAATGGATTCCTAGTTGCATCTATGGCTGCAAGAAATTATTTCCATTCTCTATGTGCCCTAAAAAAATGAAAATGCCCACAATAGGTTCCCACAGCCCAAGATGAAGTCTTCAAAGAGTTTTGTCAGCAAACATGTGCATCAGCATTTTTAATCAAAAAATCCCCCCCGGATCCCATTAGTGATTTTTCTTGGGTTTACTGTCCGTTACGTATTTAACGCTTCTATTAAATACGACCTGATTTTAAGTCACAGGAAGTTTTACCATCTGTGACACAGCAGAAATTTCTGCGCTTTCTCCTATCTGCAGTTCACCTCTTACATCTGCTGTTTATATCTTTCTATGTAACGTTTCAGACGTTAAAATCAAAGACAAAGTGATGACTGGCATTCACTCATACTGTCCTATGCATTAAATGCCCTCCGTTTTAAATATACAAACAAACAAACATATTGAGTACCTCTAGCCAAATATTCTGAGTTCACATTGAATAGGAAGTGGAAGTAAAACTGGGATGAAACCGCAGTGGATGACCAAGATTTGCTGTTCAAGCGAGACGGCGTTATCTTGCATCTGCTACCCTTTTATTATATGTTGCCGCAAACAACTACAGCCCTGCATTCATCCTTTTCTCTCCGACTCGAGTTTCAGCGAGCCATATCTGATGACATTTAGCCCGACTGCCCTCTGCATCCCACCACCCCCGGCTTCTTCTGTCCGCCGATCATTTGAAGGCAGGGAACACCCCTACAGCCGCTGATAACTGAGAATTACACATGGATGATTACGGATAGCATTATTTGCATGTGTTTCCCAGGAAAATGTTGGCATACTCCACTGCTGCATTTCCTAGGACTTACTTCCCCAAAGAAATGCATCACCAACAGGGAAACCTCACTGCAAACGTGACCACAATGCATGCAAAAGGGAGGTGTGTGTGTGTGTGTGGGGGGGAGAAACCCTTGGCTATATACAAGCATATTGCACAAGCTGTGACGGCTAACTCGTGGTGGCATCATGTAAAGTGTCTGGAGTTCCCCACAGCTTATAAACTGGCCCACAATCGATCAATTGATTCTTACACACAAAAGGAATTTGCCGTTTTTTTTTTCTACTCGACTCCGTGGAAAAGAGATGAGACAACCAAGCATTCACAGCGTGTAGCTCTCACTGCTCATTTTATAAACGGGAAACAACGTAAAGCTTCAGAAAACAGTAAGTTACAGGATTATGTGTGTGATAGCAAGACTGCAGGGGTTATTGTAGGCCTGTAAAAGCATGCTGCATATAAATCCCTCACAGTAAAGGAGGAAAAAAGCATGAAAAAAAAAACAAAAACAGAAACTTGCAAGTGACATTCGAAACATGAGCCACACTGCCGCAATGAAGTCATTCACATTTATGGCAACAACCATAGAGTATTACAGACGTGCAGCCGGTGCAGTTTGTAACAGGAATCATCAAAGATGTAGATCAGGAATGTCGGTAAAGAAAATATCTACTTTCATAAAACAGCAGCAGTGCATTTACCTTTTTTTTTTTTTTTCAGGCTGCAAGAGGCAGCACACATTGCAACTGTCATATATTACTCCACACAGTCTGTACAGTTAAAGACAAATCCAACTGGTTCTCTTCTCCTCAACCTCTAAACATAAAGTAGTTCAGCAGGAACAGAACACTAGGAGTCCATTGTTGGTGGGTAAAATCCAGTGTTCTGTCAGTACTTGTTGATCCCAAATATCCGTACTCCGTGAAACTGAGGCAACTTTGGGAGGAGCACAGTGAGAAGGGAGCTTGTGTTGATGATAAAATGCGTGGGATCATATTTTGTGTAGAAACTGGCAAGAATATACCTGCACAGAGAGAAGAATGGTGTGAATGTAGCGTCAACATTTACATCGAAGCACCAAAAACATACATGGCATACACTCAAATCAGAAAGTAAAAATATCTCCACAACGAACCATTCAAGCAAGATTTATTGTTACTCAATTGTGTGAATCCTTGAGGTTAAACAAACGTGATGAATGAAACAAACGTGATGAATGCAACAAACGTGATGAATGCAACAAACGTGATGAATGCAACAAACGTGATGAATGCAACAAACGTGATGAATGCAACAAACTTGCAAACCTTTTTTAAAGGTTGAAAGCTGCATTGTTTACATCCACGTTTAAGGGCTAGCACCCTGTGATGCCACCGTGTTGGATATCTTTGTGCATTACCGTCACCTGTTGATCGGCAGAATAGTGGGAAACCATCGGCGTATCGTGTCACCGATGTACATGAGCCCACTCATGGTACAACTGCTCCACAGTGAAAACTCAAAATGATTAAGTGCATCAGTTTAAAGTTTAAGTGCATCAGTTCGAGCGTCATTTTGCTTCTCTTATGGTTTCAAATGTTTGAGGACTCATCCTGCACTCAGCGCTTACAAAAAAACAATCCAAACAAAGGAGACTTTTGGTGACTAGCTAGCCTCACCAGTTGTATAAATCGTAGTAGCTAACGGAGCAATATCAAGAGATGTGTGTTTGTATATCAGAGAGAAAAAAACCTTGTTTTCATTTCCAAAACAATGTGGTTGTGGTCTGATTCATTCAAGGGAAACTTTGCAGACTTTTAACCGACAGATAACACGAAACGACAGGCGGAGATTTGCCGGTGGGTGCTGGCGGCATTTAGGGAGGTACCGCTCGCGCTGAAGTGACCCAGAACCAGTTGAATATCAGCAACGTTTCCCTTGTCCTCCTCATAATAGAACAACAGGTGTCGGAGGTGTGTGTGTGTGGAGCAGACAGTCGCGCCAAACTCTAAGCCGGGCGCTTTGTAGCGGTCCAATCAAATGCAAAGGATTTGATTAAAATCCCTCTTGTAAATGTACAAGTCTCACCTGTTCCGTTTCACTGTGAAACACGTCACAGTATATATCTATATCTGAAGACGCTTTAACTTTAAGGTAAATTAGCCTAAAATTGTTCCCAGATCATCTCAAAACAAAAGGCCAGAAGATTCCCAACAGCCTGAATAAGTGAGTCAAAAATGATTTAGCAATGATGAAACTGTCCAGCTCTGCAGAGCACTTTTAAAGAAAATACTTACAGAACAATTGGTGAGATAGTGAGGAATTTGCGCGAAGATGTGAACTGGACTCCGTAGTCCATCTGCTCCCAGTGTGTGAGGAGACGAGCTTTGCCTTGGTCTGGTGTCTCAAAGGGAGTGCCCTTCACTGTGTGGAGAAACAGGTACATCACCTGCAGAGGACAGACCACAATCACAGAAGAAGTAATGCTCAGGCTGATCATTTTCATAGCGTAGGGGGCAAGTGTAACAAAGTGAAAGTTAATAATCATATATTATGATATAGTTGATTTTCTGGAAATTCAATCTAGAAATTGTTGATGGATAAAAAACAACAACAAGTGTGTGTCTTTTTGGCTAATCCAGAAAGTTCATGACCTGATAAATCACATTGATGCAAAATTCATATCATCATCTGAAATTAAAGGAATAGTTTGACATTTTGGGAAATATGCCTTCTTGCTGATAGCTGAGAAGATCAAAACAACTCTCACATCTGTCCATTGAATATGAAGGTGGAGTCAGGAAACGGTTAGCTTAGCAGAAAACAAAACATGCATTACCGCTTCCGGCCAAGAAATAGTCTCATAACCCCTGTTTTTAAAACGGAAATGTATCTTCATGAACTTGCATTCTTTGTAGACAACAAAAAATATATCCTGTGCTAATCAACGTGATTTAGAGGTGCTGGTTTATAAGTGGATATTCATGAACTCTTGGACAGATCCAGGCTAGCTTTTTAGCCTGTTTCCAGTCTTTGTGCTAAGCTAAGCTAAACATGTCCTCGCTGTAGCTTCATATTTTAATTTCTTATTCAGAGACCACACACACAAAGTGAAGCGCTGATCAGTGTGAACTTCAATGAAAGTCCATCAAAATGAAAACTACAGCATTTCCCAAAATGAAAAACTATTCCTTTAACATATGGCAGTCTTGATCACTGCTTTTTAACAATGACAACAATGCCAGAGATAATATACAGCATAAATACAAACATATGTGGGTTATTGTCACATGTATTTAAGATGTGTAATGAATCTTATACAGCTCTATCTTTAACTGACCAGGTTGTGGATGACGTTGGTCAGAGTCCAGACGAGCGGTACGGTGAAGAAGGGGATGCTGAGCAGGACGATGTGCAGCACGACGGTCAGCAGCAGGTAGGTGAGCCATATTCCTCTGCTGTTCATCACCCTCGTGTTGGGGTTCACCTCGCTGTGAGCTACGCCCACGTTCATCCTAAACACAGAGGAGACACTAGATTTAAGCGTTCAGGATGCTGAAAACCAGCTTCTGTTGATTCAAGAGGCACCGACATCCAACTTTTCAAACATGATGTAAGCAAGCAGGCTAAATCTCAAACCTGATCGCCCCACACATGGTAAAATAGCTAATGAGGTGATGAGGATGATCTGCTGAAATTGAGTTTTTCTTATGTAATTTGAACAATGTCTGCTTACGGACCAAGTCTCATACCATCACCAAACAATACAGATTTATAGTTCCAATCATCTCACTACAGTTCAATTTCATGTTTGAACTTCAACTTTTTTTAAAATAATGTATGCAGTTATTTATGAATATATGCAAATGAGCTATGCACTTCTTTAAAAGCTAACTGTCACATTCATAAAAAGAACCAACAAGAGCTGCAACTAACAGTCATTTATTTCTTATTGATTAATCCAACAGTTGTTTTTAAAGTCCTTCAAACTACGGCCCAAAAAAAACAGTCAAAGATATTCAATTCTTACAACGATATAAAACAAAGAAAAGCTACAAATTCTCACATTGGAGGAAACTGAGAATGCTCCAACTAAATATTATCTACATTATCTAATAACCCACTGATTATTATCTTGATTCATTGGTTGGTCTATAAAATCAAAAATGTCCATCACAATTTCCTAAAACCCTAAAGGATGTCATGACATGTCTTGTTCTATCCGTTCAAAACTCCAAATCCTAAATATATGAAATGTATTATCACATAAGACAAAGAAAAGCATCACATCCTCACAGTTAAGAAGTTACTATCGCATCTTAATTGTTTTATACATCAACTCTGACTCCGCCCGACTGAACTGGGCTGTGTGACTAAACACTCGCTTCCTCTCAGGACTTCACTAATTTACGTTACAACTAACCGCAGCATTCAGACAACAAACTGGCACCAAAAACAATAACGAAGCATCAGTTAACGTGCACTTCTTAAATATTATACGAGAACATAACAGCAACCCTTCACACAAAACCCAACATTAACTAACATCTTAAAAGTTAGCTTTTAAACAACGTTCGCATGCTAGCTAACAGTGTAGCTGCTATCTACCGGTTGACTTGCTAACGTTAGCTCGAAGCTACGTTGATCCGGATGTAACGGCTGCTCATTAAATCGATACTGAAGGGGGTTAAACGCCTCTGCTGAATCGTGATGAATTAGCCTCGCCCATTCAGAATTTCGAGGTTTACAACTTATCATCTATAAAGAGCAAACTTTTACCTTCCTGTGTTGTCGTAGCTCTACAGGAAATTCCTTGTTTCTTCTTTGACCCCGCCTTCCTTAGGCTTGGGCTGGTTCCGTTCCTCTGTAACAGCTGGCAAAACTCCAGCCTGTGTCCACCCGTCCTCATCAGCGTCAGGTGAACAGGTGAGGGGGACGCTACTGCTTAAGCTTTTAACAAAGAGCAATTGATCTCAAAGAAAGTTCCTGGATCCCCCAGTAAATGTGAACAATAGCTTTGTTTATTATTTCCCTGTTAATAACAGCTGTTAATTCCCAATCCCATATAACCATGAGTGTTGATTTTTGTATTTTTCTGATAAACTGAAGGATGAAGTGTGGAAGCCCATTTCCACCACTGAGCGGAAAAAATAAAGATCATTGTGACTTAGTATCTCATAATTATGACTTAGCATCTCATAATTATGACTTAGTATCTCATAATTATGACTTAGCATCTCATAATTATGACTTTCTATCTCATCATTATGAGATACACATCTCCTTATTTTGAGATAGTATCTCATTATAATGACTTACAGGATCTTTATTTTTTTCCTCACATTGGCGGAAATGGGCTTCCATTGAAGTGTTAAAGGAGATAAAAATGTGCACAATGCAACATACACATTAATGCAGCACTAATGTTAACCTAGAAACACAATATATAATAGTAAAAACTATTTACTGCACAATGAGTAGACCTACTTTACTTTTGATATATTTTGCTAATAATACTCACAAACTTTTAAGTAAGGTTATTAATGCAGGAATTTACTTGTATGGAAGTATTTTCACAGTGTGGTATTGGTACTTATACGTAAGTAAATGGTCTCGATACTTCTTCCACCACTGGCTATTTGCTTCTCAGGTGCAGTTTATTAGACAAAATCTATACAGTACAAATGACAACCAAATTGTGTTTTAGAAATTTGTTGAAATGGAACCTTTAACCTTCACATGCACACCAGTTAACACTAAACAATAGTGCACCACAAACAATTATAAACATTATCTCAACAGGCCAGATGTCAACAAACTGAATGGCCTATAGTTAGTGGTTCTTGCAAAAGTGGTTTGACACTAGTGATGCAAAGTACTTTAAGTACATGACAAATGACATTGTGAAGTTTTTGTAGTAATATTCCCGACTAAGAAGTACTGCCAAAGCCTGATATAGCTTCCCTCTGATGTGCCAGAGAGCTCCATTGTTGTCCAGATTACTGGACTTCTACTTCTATGTAAGTCTATCTGAATACTACTTCCACTATTGATTGTGACCTCAGAAGGTAATTAGTGATACTTTATTTTTTCTTACACATGGATAAATATGATCAGAATAACTGTATATGCAAAAGGACCAATAAGGGAATGTGACATTCATTTGTGCACACTACTCAACATTTAACATATTGAATTATTTGACTGAAGGTGGGCGATATTGATAAAATCACTGTGAATTCATTTTATTTCATAATTTTGATATAAAGTATATTGAGATGTATCCTGTTTTCTTGACAACTTGAGGAAGTAACCAGATGGGAGTGTTTGTTGTTGTTGGCGTATCTAGCAAAATAAGTACCTGACAAATCCAGATCACATTTATAAAACAATGCTGCTAAACCAGTAACCCAGAGAGGTTAGCAGGTTTAGCTGTTAACACCTCACACCCCGAGATTGAATGTTATATTTTGTGCACCAGCTTTTTACCAAGGGGCTAAAATCCACAAATCAAATCAATCTACCCTTTAATATCACAGTTCATAGTCAAAAGAGAAAAAGTATGGAGCAAAATCTTGCAATGAATGTCGTTGTGGAGCTCACAAAACGGATGGTCCATAAGCCTTTGAGCTAACATTTCCCAAAATACCACTTGACAGGTTTTTCTGGTCTTAAAGTCGCCTTGCATGAGTTGAACTGAGATTTAACTTTGCATCCTTTAGAAGGAGTAGTAAAGTAAACTCAAGGCATGGGAAAATAATTGAATTTAATATATGAGATACAGTACATAGCATGGAGGGATATTTTGGATGAAGGGAAATGACTAATTCAGTGGGGAAAAGGGAAAACAACAACACACAGGCTGTTACCAGCACGCGCAGCAGATTGCTTCCCCGAAGCATGAGCGGTGTGTCAAAAACATAATTAAGGAAGTGACGTCACAAATGACACATGGTTTATATGCGCGGGACGGCCTGAGGAACTCTGGTTTGCTGAGTGCGGTCATTTATTGAAGCACGTTTTTATATTGACTGTTTATATTTATAATATATCCATTATTATGATGATGATGTTTACACAAATTACAACCAGTATCCTCTCATGTTGTAATCAAGTCATGTCTAAATGACCACAAAATAATAGGCCGGATTTCTTACACTATAAATAACATCATAAAATCTCACAGTTGACTTACAGTAACACATTGACCTTTCTGCTTGCATCATCCTCATGCAAATACACTCTACTGTAATACTACCAGCACATCCCTGTTCATGATCACAGCATAATAAACTCTTCTCATATAGGTTGTAAAAATAATCTTCATTCTGACCTCTGGTTCATCGCTACATTTACGTCATCATGACGGCTAAAGATCAAAAACAAACGTAGGACCTCAAGAGTTTGTTTTTCCTTCGGATGAGCATGACAGCTTCACAGAGATGCTAGTGCACATAATGCTTTTGTTATATAAACTTTCCTATTGTTGTGTTATTATAATTGATTTCCTTTTGCCTGTGCAACTTATTTGAGCATATCCTCTATTCTCTCTCTCTCTCTCTGTTATTAGATAGGTGCTAAATATCTAATTTGGGCTATGAAAGATATGATGTCACTCGACCTGCAGGTGAGAACAGTCAATTTGGGAGTTTTTACAGACAGGATGAGGGATATCAAGTCAGTCGGAGAATAAACTTCCTTGTTGAGCAACCTTTATGCTGAGCCCACTGCTACTTCCTCTTCCACCATGTTCCTGTTTTTCCATTGAATTACTACTAATACAAAATTGCATCATCAGAGTGAGTGAAGGAACTCAACTGAGCACTATAATAGAGGCACTGACAGGGAGGAAGTATGCAGGAAGCTGTGGATCTCCAGAGAGCAACAGGAGTGTTTTAGGAAAGCACAGCTTCCTCCTTGTCTCAGCATATTTGTCTGAGTGTTGTTTTGGGTACTCAGTCACAGAAAGTAACTTCCTTAGATTGCTTAATGAGAAATTGTTTATCATAATTGTTTTCAGTGGAAGGAATAATCAGCATAAAAAAATACTGTGACATAATTTATGAGCCACAACACATATGATGAAAGTCATATTATCTGTTTTGAATATTTTATTTATTCAGCATAAAAAAGGACATAGAAATAACAACTGATTTCAATAAATATCAATAAATAAATACATTAAATATGATTTGAATAAATATGTTAGATAATAATTCCATTGGAAGTACTTTCCATGTATACATGGGAGAAACAAGAAACACTTGTAGATTCATCAGCCATTGAAGGCAATATTATAGTAACTTTGATCAATGTGATCACATAAGCGATACAGCTGCATGTCAGCAAACGTTTCATGCACTACATGCATTTTTGAGCCGAGCCCTCTGTGTGATCAGCCGGATCACCAACAGCAAAGACTCGAGCGCTGAGGATGGAGAATGAGAACAGTCTGTCCATGGTGTAGTGGCACAGCAGTTCCTCCTGCCAGCGTTCAATGTCGTGAGTTTCTTCTTCACTGGTGTAGGACTCCTGCAGAACCAGAAGAAAAACAAAACATGAAACATTTGTCCAATAGTATCTGAGAAATGCTGCACATATTTCTGACTCTGATAAATGGAAATGAAGCTGTCTCTCCCAATGGTTATTGGACTTTTTTTGGACCATTTATTTCAAACGACTGAGCTTACCATCTGGTGATTCGTCCCTGTCCTCGTCTTCACACATTTGTTCATGTCTTTGTGCAGTTTTTGCATCGCCGGCTTCACTTTGCTGACAAACTCGGAGCAGCTTTGAAATCCAGCAACCCTCTCGACTGCAGAGATGTATCTCATTAGGACGTTAAGTATCTTCCCAAGACATGTCTGAGGAAGGAGCGAGGAAGAGGAAGACTTAGAAATCACATCACAATCAGGATCTCATTGTTTTTCGTCCATGAGCTTTTTGATGTCCCTGATACAATACAATTGATGTAATATTTGTTGCTTACCGTAGGCTTCTGTTTGAGGGTCTCAGGGTCACACATGTCTTTCGCCTCCATCCAAACGAGTGCAGTGGAGAAGTCTGTCACATCTTTGGATCCATTTCGTGCCTACAAATCATTTCAGACAAACATGCTCAGTAACAATGTTGCATTATATAGAAACAGTAAACATGTAAATGCTGGTATTAACTGCATGTTTTAAGTCAACATGTAGTGTTAATGCCGGTTAATCTTCATATTACTGTGTACTGTCAAAATACTTTATACTAAGTTGTATTTTGATGTTTTGACAAAATTGTTCTTGAAGCTTCTGTCTGAAAAAAGGACTTTTTGATTTACTTTAATTTAATTAATTTAACACTAATGATAGTCAGTGAAATTAAAAAATATATTGCTGGTGTTTACATTCATGCTTCAACATAGAAACACATTTGTAAAAGCATTACATTCATACAAAACACAATTTGAGGCTTTATAGAAATATCATGGCTAATGTTTTGCGGCGTATTTTGCATTAAAAATTCCAAATAATGAAATAAAAAAATAAAGGAACTACTAACCTCTTTTGAAACAGTTCGAGCAAGGTGATTGAGCTCCAGAGAGCTGCTCCGCACATCCCTGCATGCGTCTTGCAGAGTGTGCCCGGTTGGAGCGCAGGATGCAGCCGCTATAAGCAAAAAAAGAGCAGCAAAAGACTTGAAACAAAAATCCATGGTGTTTGTCGGTAGGTTTGTTTTAATGAGCTGTGTCTGGTCAGCGCCTTCTGTTGTGAGCTCGACCCGGTGGGTGA